AGGCTACAGGGTCCGTTAATTGCCCCACAGTCCTTTTCTTATCTTTGTTAAACATTCTTTGTAACTATGCATCAAAGGTTTCATCACACCTTGTATATACATCTACACATCGTTTGAAATGGTAACACACATTGTACATGTTCCAGATGTGAGTCATAGGTAAAGGTAAAGGAAAAGGGACCCCATGACCGACTCTGGGGTTGTGCTGCTCATCTCACTTTATTAGCCGAGGGAGCCGGCGTACAGCTTCCGGGTCATGTGGCCAGCATGACTAAGCCACTTCTGGTGAACCAGAGCATCGCACGGAAACGCTGTTTACCTTCCCGCCAGAGCGGTACCTATTTATCTGCTTGCACTTTGACGTGCTTTCGAACTGCTAGGTTTGCAGGAGCAGGGACCGAGCAACGCAAGCTCGCCCCATTACGGGGATTCGAACCGCTGACCTTCTGATCGGCAAGTCCTAGGCTCTGTGGTTTAACCCACAGTGCCACCCGTGTCCCTGTGAGTCATAGGTACTTGTGATCAAATAAATGCACATAACTGCTTCAGATGCAACAGAGTACACTTGCTGTACTCTTAGCAAGTGAAGTGGCCATTGCTGGACGTGATGTCATAAAATGCATAAACACTGCTACTGCTTACATATAAGGAAATAAAGGGAATAGTATATGCTGTGCTTGCAATGGTTCCCAAATGGCTGGCTCCAGATAGTGAAGAAAACCAGTTTCGTCAGAGCTCCAAGGTAAGCTGAGGGCCCACCACCACCACAGCAAAGTCAGAAAGCCAATGTATGCACGGAGTACCCAATAAATTCGGTGAGAAAATGAGAGGATTGTCAGTTTGTATGCTCACCTCTTCAAAGTTAAAAGGGACAACTAAGTGCCTGTCTTCAGGGCCCTTAAATTACCCAAGTCCCCAGGCTCAGTATCAGGCACCTTCAATTGTAACATCTACAACACTTCCTCAGCCACCAACCCCATTTAAGCCAAATCGTGCTTTCCAACTAGCCACTAAAGGAGTCATCATAAAAAGGAAAGGGGGAAGAATCTATTTGCCCACTACCCTGCCATTTGAGCACTGAGCAGAACTGGGAGAAGCCTCTGTCTGAAGTCTTGAATGTGAAACATTGGGGTGACTGGGTACATAGATTCACATGTTCCCTCAAAGAATGATTAAATCTACCATATTAAAATAGAAAATCAGTGGGCAAGGATTGCTCTTTTTCGCTTTCTTGGCATCCACTGACATTTTGCAGCTATGTAATAAATGTAGTCTCCTGCCAACCTAGCAGTTTGAAAGCACGTCAAAGTACAAGTAGATAAATAGGTACCGCTCCGGCGGGAAGGTAAACGACATTTCTGTGTGCTGCTCTGGTTCGCCAGAAGTGGCTTAGTCATGCTGGCCACATGACCCGGAAGCTGTACACCAGCTCCCTCGGCCAATAAAGCAAGATGAGCGCCGCAACCCCAGAGTCAGCCACGGCTGGACCTAATGGTCAGGGGTCCCTTTACCTTTACCTTAATAAATGTAGTAGATGCATTTAGCACACATAACAGATTGATTCACGTCATCCAGATTACAGCATACAATAAGCATGAGCTAGTAAGGTAAAACTGCAGCCTGCCTGCTCATAAGTGTGGGAAGGTGGAAGCAAATTTAATTGATTCTGCAATAACTGCAAGGTTATTCTCTTGATCTTTAAAAGCTTTTCATAGCTTGCAACTACACACAGAGTATCCATCTGAACATTAAAACCACCAGCACTCCAATATTTCAAGACCTACACATATAAAATAGTGCTCAAGAGGTTAGAATGAGTGCAAGTAGCAAAAGGGTTTTATGGTGTTGTTCCTGCTACTTCTCATTTTATGCTAGTCCATAGACTACTCGATTTAGCTTGGCAAGACATGGTTATATTTTAAAGAAACTATAAAGAATCAGAGAAAGTTAGTCTGCAAACCAAGAGGGTAGTAACTTAGTTGTGACTAACAGCAGAAGCAGATGTTAATCTCTCGTTGTGCTACTTCTGAGGGAATATTTATTGTGCAGCCACAGGGAACCCACCAAAACCAGCCTCCCTCTGGCAAATGATCCCTGCTCTGGTAGGAATGTGTAGTCGCAGAAGTATTCACTCAGAGAGGTGTGCCTTGCGCCATCACTACATGTCTTTAAGCACCAGACAAAAGCATTCCTCTTTACGCAAGCCTTTAGCCATTATCTATGGCCTGTTAAAGCTGGGTGAGGGGATGACTGCTATTATGATCATTTTATTATTATGCTGCCTGTTATGCTTTTTATTATGTTTTTATTATTGATGCTCTGTAAAATGTGTTCTTAATGATGTACACTACCCTGGGATCTTTTGATAAAGGGCAGTATATAAATTGAATTAATGATGATGATGGTGGTGGTGGTTTGGAACATCAAATTGTAAATCTCTACCGCTTCCAGCCATTGGCACCAAGAATGAGGGCTGGGCGTGCAGAGACTTAGGTCATTTCCACATTATCTGTTTATTATACTTGCACCTTGATTTGTTTGTGGAAAGTTTTCAGGGAGGCTAGACAGTGTTGGCTATTTATTGAATTCTGAATTGTTTGCAGGGAGGCTGTATGATGCTGTATCAAACAATTCAGTCCATTTCTCCATCATTTTCCTTATCCCCCAAAGCCCAAGCTTTTTGTGGGAAGTGAGTTGACTGTGCAAGACTGCCACACCAACTTTAACTGTGCAACCTGAATTTGCCAGTATAGGAATGAATCCCACCCAAAAAACAGCACATCTGGAAGGGCCCTTACAATCAATGGTTGCATCCTCATCACAGTGTATAGCGTGTATATTCCATCTCTAACTAGACCCATTTATTTCAACTTAAGTGCAATTTTCTCTGAATCAAGACTAGAATATTATTTGATATCAGCCCCTTTTAAGCTTGGAATGGTGAAGAGATTATTCCCCCATGGTACATTTTCTTCTATCAATGATGGCACGGCAGGAATGGTGAATCTGCTTACCGAACTGAAAATGGGAAGTGCATTGTGTATTTTTCCCAAGCTGCAATCACAGTCTTTACTATCTTGACAGGACAAGGGCCTGCAGAATGACCTGAATGTCATTCTTTTCTCGGATCATGGGATGACTGACATTTACTGGATGGAAAAAGTGATCGAGCTGAGAAATTGTATCAACATGAGCGATGTTATACAAGTAAAGGACCGAGGTCCTGTTGTAAGCCTGTGGCCAGCCAAGGAGAAGCAGTCCGAGGCAAGGGACCTTTTCTCTTTCTTTACCCACTTTGTGCCAATCAGGGGTTTTCCCCTGCTTTCCTGTACCACTTAACACCCAGTTCTACTGCTTGGCCTCCACACTCTGGCGTTACTTGAGCATTGACAGGAAAGAACCTGGTCCATTACTACTACTATTACTACTACTGTCGTACCTCGGCTCCTGAACACCTTGGAAGTTGAACATTCTGCCTCCTGAATGATTGAAAACTGGAAGTGAGTGTTCTGGTTTTCAAACTTTCTTTTGAAAGCCGAACATCGGATGGCTCTTCTGCAGCTTCTGATTGGCTGAAGGAGCTTCCTGCAGCCAATCAGAAGCCGCGCTTTGGTTTCCGAATGTTTCGGAAATTGAACGGATTCCGTTCGACTTCAGAGGTACGACTGTATTATTAATTTATTTTATTTATTAAATCTGCATACCGCCCTATACCCATAGGTCTCAGGGCCGCTCACAAGATAAAAATCACAAAATAAAAACCCAAAATAAATAATCAAATAAATAAAACAAACAAGAACAAAGCAAAAACAGCCCAATAACCCCCTGAAGGTCTACTGAATGTGAAGAACCTAGACTAGGAAGAATTACATGCCGTCCGCTAGCGTCCTACAGTCATGCATTGTAGCCTTAAGGCAGGCTTCCTCAACCTCGGCCCTCCAGATGTTTTTGGTCTACAACTCCCATGATCCCTAGCTAGCAGGACCAGTGGTCAGGGATGCTGGGAATTGTAGTCTCAAAACATCTGGAGGGCTGAGGTTGAGGAAGCCTGCCCTAAGGCAATGCTGCTGTAGTGCCCTTAACAAACTGGGCTCAGCCTAAGAGATTGGTCCATCCTTTATACGTCATCATGACCTCTGAATCACCTTCCCATCAATAGGTCAGATTTTATCAGCAGGGTCTACATGTCACTTTAAACTACAATTGAGCTTAACTATGGCATAAAGGCTGGTGCATGGAACGAAAAGTGGCCACGTGGCTCCTTCCTGTGCCTTCTGCTGCCATAATGCTACCAGCCAAGCCATAGTTTGGCCAAGTAACGTGTACAAAAATGCACACACTATAGTAAAGTGTGCACAAAAACCCATATATTCATGAAAATAACATACAAAAATGCATTACATTAGGGAAATAGGATTTGCAAAATTATGTGTGCGGTATTAGGCAAAATTCACTGATAATTTTTTGTAGTAGTAAATTGATGTGGGAATGTGGAGAACTGAAGAAAAATTAGAACTTGAGAAACCAAGTTCACCAGTCACCACTTCCAAGTAAATGTGCACAGGACTGCAACCTTAATGCGTTTCAAAATATTACTACCTAGCTTTGTGACTGGCTGAGCTAGGAATGCAAATACATTATTTACTTCTGAGCAAGATGGGGTGCAGAAGTCCAATTTTCCCTCCTTTAATTATATCCAAGCTCAATATTTTAAAAGGAATATTTTTCATGGGATTTTCTGCACAAGTTAGTAAGCCCACAGTGTTCCCATAATAGTTCTTTTTAAAAGACCATATATCTTAGGGCAGTGTGATCATCCATGCCAGCAATTATGATGTGCATTGAGGCTTCATAGCTTTTCTTTCTTTGCAGGTATACAACAAACTGAAAAATGTGCCACATATGACAGTTTACAGGAAAGAGGATATCCCTGCTCGATTTTATTATAAAGAAGGGAAATTTGTCTCTCCTTTGACACTTGTCGCTGAAGAAGGATGGTTCATAGTGGAGGTAAATCATCTGTGTCAGGGCTATACAAGTTGTGACCCATCAAACAGAAGACAGGCATGAATAGTGGCCTGTCTGATGCTTCATAAGTCCTCTGTTTTTTGTTTTTGTTTTTTGCTCTATAGCAAAACCAGGAAGTTTAATAAGTCCCTTGTGGGCCACCATACATGGCTGATATGCTCTATTTCGCTTGTTGGGTCATAGGTTGTACTGACAGTTTGTATGAGTCGTTTTAAACTAAGGCTGTTTTTCAATATAACCGTATTTGGAAGAAAATTAACGTTAACATATACATATACTGTTTGAAAAGCTGAAATCACATTTTCATTTCAGGAATATAAGGAGATATTTACATCTATTTTAATTAACTGGTTTATTCTAAAATTCATGGGGTCACGAAGAGTCGGACACAACTAAACGACTAAACAACATAATTCTAAAATTATTTTCACAATATCTAGTTCAGGGTGGATTAGCATTTTACATTAAATATTTTCTCTCTCTAAATGTTAGAAACTTTGCTGATACTGGAGTAAGTATGTCTCTTCCTACTCTTAATTTTTTATTGTTTCTAGCTTTTGAGAATAGCTTTCCACTATACCTGTTGTTCCTGAACCACTTTCATTATTAACAGAACAGAATTTAAAAAATGGCTTATTATATAGCGAATAATTGATTTTTAATTTCCTCCCTATCAAAGGGACTGTAAAATGGCTGCCAAACCTATCAAATATTATATTCGATATATTTTTAAGGTGTTATTGTTGAAAATGTCTCAGCAACTCAAAATGTTTTCTTCTTCTTCTTAACTGCTCCATCTCACATCATTTTGAAAAGGCATAAGCAGAACACAGATGTCAGAAATGTCTTTGTCAGGTTATTCATCTGCACCATTTTGCATACAATCAGATCTCATTTTTAAGCTTCCTATCATATATAACACCTACAGGTGTAATGATTTTCTTGGCTTGAGAAAACCTTCAATTCTACATCTGGTCCTAAATTATAGCCCAGTGGTTAAATTCACTTTGATTTCTTGGGTAACACTCAAACTGTGGATAGCACATAGTGGTGGAAGATTTCTTGGGGTGGGGAGAGGGTGTCGTAGTCTTGTTGCTGAGCAACTATGTGCAGAGCTCAGTGGAGTGGGAAGACAGCCAACCAGAAGAGTCTCTGAGGTGTACTTGCCTGGAAGGAGAGTCAGCATCCAAAGTCAGGTCCAGTCCTAGGGTCAAGCAAACAGCAATCCGTGTGACCAGACAGTCCAGGGGTCAGGGAATCTGATGATCAGGGGTTCAAGACAAGCAGCAAGCAGCAAGGTTGGGCCAGGAACTGCAAGTGTTGCTACCAGCACCTGACTGCTGCTGGAAGCTTTGTTTAAGAAAGCTAACACCAGCTGGTTCTCATCAGTGCCTCCTCTTCTGTGTCGTTGAAGGCTGATCAGCTGCAGGTGGAGTCTCTCCACCTTCAGGCTGCTGTTCAGCAGGCAAAGCTGACTCCTGGCCCATAACAGAGGGACTGACAGTCTTCCAGATGTGGGAAACATGGTATAGTTGAATGCAATTTTGCAGCTCACAGGAGGAACAATAGTGTGCAAAATGAAAGTAAAATTTTAAATCTTTTTAGTAAAAGTGTGTGATGATGCGTGTGCCTACTTTAACAGATTATCTGCATATCATCCGCAATTTTGGACCTTACTAATACATATATACACACATATATATATTTTAAAATTACAAAATATTAAAATAGTGAGCAATGGCTCGATCCAAAGAATGATGCCCTTCCAATTTATAGCTTCAGTGAATTTGAGCTAGTAACACAATAAACCGATGCTGGAATCCCTTTTGATTTTTATCTGCTTCTATTTATGATGAGAATCCTTGCCTGTCAGCACTGTAGTCATTAAAAAAATAAAAACCTTTAAAAACTCAGGAGCCCCTTGAGTATCCATACATTTCTCTGTATTTAATAGTCAGCAGATGTACTAGATAATTGAACAATTCTAGCTGACAAATTAAATCTGTTTCCTTTTCTCTATCTATTTTTACTGACAGCACTCAGAGTGAGCAAAGGGGGGGGGGATTGGCTCCCCCTTCTAACTCCAGAGCCCCTTTACACTGCTGCTCTGTTTAATTCATTTACAGGCTGTCAGTGGTCTGCACAACGTCTACCACGTTTGCGAGCATTAACCTATGGCCTGCCAAGTCTTACCTAATTTGTAAAATAGTCTTATGCCAGCATGACATAACTTGTTAAACCTTTCAAAATTTGCTAGACATTGCTGTTGGCTCATCTAGCAGCGTATCAAAACTAATAAATCAAAAGTGCCCTGCTCAGGTCCAATATGAAGAAAATGCCTATCAGTGCCTGTTGAGAATGAAGTCCAAAAGCACAGCAACTTTCAGTACATAAAATCAAACATATTGAATGTATGGGATAATACATTCAAATGTATTATAGGTTTTCTTATTAAACTGATATGTCACCACAGTAATTCAGCTAAGGTGGAAGTCAAAAAACAGGGCCAGATTTATCAGAATGACATTGGAAAATGGGGACTGTGTTAGTGAAGCATACATTCCTGTAAAAGAAGGATCAAAGCCAGCTCTTCTCAAAACCATTGCTTGCTGCAGCTGTTGTGGCTGAAGTGATAAACCACAGTTTATTGTTTAAAGGTGAATGTGCAGTGTGCTGGTGCACAGGGCTAAAATTGGGCCACTTTTCTCTTTCCCATTTCTGCTCCAGTATTTGGCTTAGCATTATGTCCAAACTTGGGCTCATAGGTTGTATCTCTCCAAAAAAACCCATAAGTTATAATCAAAGTTTGTTCTTGGCTTTACTGGCACAGTAGTGTTTTGTTTGGTGGAAGACAAACAATGGCTTAATTGTGGTTTAAAAGATGCAGAATACAGAACAGAACTCTATCGTATGAGGGTTTATGGGGTAGCTGGAAGAGATACCAAGGCCTTTTCTTAAATTTCCTTGATGCTTACTCACAAATATCTCCTTGATAGACGAGTCATCCTGAATTGTTTTCGCAATCATGGATGTAGCTTGGAAGGATGTCTGAGTTTTCTTCCTGCTCTTTGAAAAGATGAGGGCAGTCACTTCATGAAACACTACTGACCTGTTTGTGTTACTATAATACTGTGTAATGGTATTTAATCTATATCAACTAAATAACCAGTTAGACCCATTTACACAGGGCTCTCATCTAGGATGCCCTTCATATTTTTGATTTTACCAACCCTATGTCTATGGAGGACTAAACTGCAGTGCAAAATTAAAACTAGCATGGCAATCCTATACAGTATGCACACTTATCTAGGGCAAGTCTCACTGAACGTGGGACTTACTTCTGAGTGGGCATGCACAGGATTGTGCTTCAGTCATTTAATGAGTAGGTTCTGTATTTGTAGCGCTGTATGACCTTTTGTCAAAGCAATTAAATGCAATTACTTAATTTAATGATTCCATTCTTTAGATCCATTCATCTGGATGATCACCTTTACTTGGAAGGAAGTTTAATTAATTCACAGTGGAACTTCTTCTCAATAACTATGTTCAGGACTGAAGCCCAAGATGTGTAACACACTCATGTTAAACAGAATTTCTTTCCCCTACAGAGCAAAGAAAAGCTTCCATTCTGGGAGAATGGAACGGGAAAAAGAGATGCCTGGCAGAATGGATGGCATGGCTATGATAATGAACTGATGGATATGAAAGGATTCTTCCTTGCATATGGGCCAGGTAGGTCAACTGGAGAAGTAGATAATCACCCTATTCCTTCCTTGCTTGCAACAGATGCAGTTTTTGGTGCTCTCTGTTGAGTGTATGTGGACACGAGTTAATTGTGCAGATTCAGTCTTTCTGCTACAAGTGTGGAGAACCTGTGGCTCTCCAGATGTTGTTGGACTCCAACTCCCATGAACCTCAGCAAGCATGGTCAATGGCCAAAGACCATGGGAGTTGCAGTTTAGCAGTGTCTAGAGGGCCTAAGGTTCCTCACGCTGTGCAAATGAAGCAGAAACAAGAGTTACTCTACTTCCAACTTCTTCTATGCCTTGTTTTAAACTGCTTGGGAAAATAGCATATAACTTGCCTTACCAGCATATTTCCAGCGACTTTGTTAAAATATATTGTCCTAGTCATTATGAACGACATAAGGGAGCACAACTAATAAAATGTCTTTCTGTTTAGAGAGCACAGAATGAGAAAGTGTACATCTTGCATAATATGGATTCTTATTTAAATCCTAATCCTAAATCTGTCACGAGCCAGAGCAACATACGCAGTATTTTTTTATAAAAATATTTATAAAAAAAATAAACCACAGTGGTTTCCAACAATATGAAATCCTAAAAAGTTAAAAGCAAGTTAAAAACCAAAAGAATTAAAAACAAGCATCAGTATACCATTGTGGGGGGTGTACTCTTTATTGCCTGCAAAGGCCTGGTGGAATAGAAAGGTTTAAAAGTTGGCACAGAAGGTGCCTGCTGAATCTCTATTGGCAGGGTCTTCCACAAGACTGGGCTGATGACACTAACGGCTCAGTTTCTCAATGCTGTAAAATTATTTCCTTTCTCCACCCTGCAAAATAGGGCAATATTTATTTTGTTTAATATTACAATACACAGACATTGCAGTTAAAAGTAAACCTGTTAAGTACGGTAGGTCTGTGTAAGCCGCCACTCAAGGATATATATTATAGTTAAAGGCAATTTTCTTTTGAAAGCTATGATAATTGTGCTGGGTTGAGAGGTTGCCAGTAGTCTGAGATTTCATCAGCTACATTGGATGTTCTTGAGTAATATTGGCAGAAGGAAACATTTAGCTGTGCCCCCCTGTGTTTATCAAAAGTCTGGCTTGTCGTGAACTGTTTTTGTTCTTGGAGTTGCAAATTTTGGACCCCTCTGCCTACAGTCAAGGCTCTGTGTACTTTTTATTGTGTTAAAAGAATAATAATCCATCATTCAAACCTTACGGAGAAATTATCTCTCTCCACTCACAGTAAACAAGGAGCAATTTTTCAAACATTTCACCTTGATCCAATCCTTAAACTATTCATGTTACTTGTCTGTTATCAGAAGAGTATCTTTATTTGTGAAAGCATTGAAAACCAGCTTTTGTTGGAGAAATAAGTTCTTTCTACTGAACTCAACAAAAGTATTCCAAGTATTGCCCTGGAACCAGAGCAATTCTAAATTATTCAAGGCTAAGATGAAGTCTCACGGTCTATTCTTTGTCTGTTAAGCATATTCAGTCCAAAGTACATCCAAAGTCATCTCCCCCTCACAGAATGGGGTGGATAAAGTTCATTATTTCCTCAACTGGTATAAAAAAAGGCTATATCACCAGCAACATATTCAACTGCCTTTGATTTAACCATTGTGAAAAACCACATCCTATAATTATAATTGGGAGGACTGAGTTGGTTCTTTATTATCAAGTAGGACCCAAACACAAAATGGTAAAAAACATGTGGGTGTGCATTTATATATATTCTTGCTATGTTATCTCAGTGTCTTACATAGGAGCATAATGCCTTATATTGATTCAGACCATTGATCCATCTAGGTCAACAGACCCTCTCTGAGGTGTTAAGATTGGTAGTTCCTGCCAACCTAGCAGTTCGAAAGCATGCCAGTGCAAGTAGATAAATAGGTACCACTGCGGTGGGAAGGTAAACAGCATTTCTGTGCGCTCTGGCTTCCTCCCCGGTTCCCATTGTGCCAGAAGCGGTTTAGTCATGCTGGCCACATGACCCAGAAAGCTGCCTGTGGACAAACGCCAGCTCCATCGGCCTGAAAGCAAGATGAGCACCACAACCCCAGTCGCCTTGGACTGGACTGAACCATCCAGGGGTTCTTTACCTACCTTAACCTTACCTTGTTGTAAGCTGAAAATGCAACTCTTTACCTAGGCCTTTGACACCTGAGAGATATACGTTAGGACCCACTATATTCTCTTGATTGTCATTTGTTTTACCTAAATCATGGTGAAGGGAAGGGACCTTAATCATATTATTATCTATACTGGCTGGCAGCAGTTCTTCAGGATCTTAGGCAGTTGGCCTTCCCAGGGCCAGCCTGGTGATGCTCGGAATTGAAACTGCAAAATAGATGCTTAACAGCTGAGCTGTAACTGTTCCCCATACCTGGACATACTATGAGTGGGAAAAGTAAAACATAATGGAGCAAATATCTCAAAAGAAAATGTTAAGGTTATCAAGGATACGAACAGAGCTAATGTGGCACAACGGCCATATATGGAGAAATGGAACATACAGTCAAAATTACTTTGCAGAAATAAGCCTTAGCTGGATTCCGTCCCAAACTGATCCAGGATGGCAAGGACTGCAGCAGAGTTGTTACTGTGAAATTCATCCAAATTGGATCCCTCTGCTAGTGGTAAAGTAAACTGCGGCATAACCTGAAGTCAAGATCCAGGGATGTGATTAAAGGCAAAAGAACAGTGGGTAGCAGACAGCGCCAAACACAGAATACAAGATACCAAACCAACAACAAAATGTTGCTTAAACAATACTTTTGGAAATACCCACACCTGCTCATGGTCAGCAAGATCCAGTCATTAGGTTAGGAGGTTCTTCCATGTTCTCTCAGATCCTCTGATATTGGATCAGAGGGCCGATTCACAACATGCACTAATAACTGTGCAGTAGTGACTGAAAACAACTTCACATTGAGGCTGACTAATTGCTATAGTAAGCCTTCATGAGAGTACTATGGGGGAAAGTGAACATTTAAATGTGGACCATGCTTGCTAACTTTTGTTTGTGTTGCTAAAGGCTTTCTGACCTCATGCAAAAGCGAGGCAAATGTTAAATTTCAGGTGATATTAATTTAGCTTGCAGCATTGCAAAGTACGCTACTGATCTAAAATGCCTCATTGTCATTTTGTTTCAGATTTCAAGTCTAACTTCAGAGCCGCGCCAATCAGATCAGTTGATGTTTATAATGTCATGTGCAAGGTTGCAGGAATACAACCATTGCCCAACAATGGGTCCTGGTCGAGAGTGCAGTGTATGTTAAAAAATAATGCCAGTTTGGCACCATCATTCCAGTGGAGCAGCTCTGTGCTGGCACTACTTCTGTTTGTATTGTTTGTATAACAGATCTTGTTACTCCGGTCCCAATACAATGTCAGTCAGTGTGTCCAGTCTTTTTTTTTCATTCGTCATTTGAATAGCAGTATTAACAAAATGCTGTCTGGGGAAGATTATACATATGCATTTCTAAATCATCAAACCCAAAGAAACATTATGTAAGTGCCTAGTTCTGGGGCATGCACTACCAATGAGGGGAAGAAGGAACATTTTCCATGGTATTTGTCTCCAGGTCCCTAACCAGCCTCTAGGTGAAACAAGCACACACTTAAGACTAAAAGGTCTACACGAAATCTAGCAATTCTGGTCCTAGAAGTCTTCCTGGCTTTGCATTTATCTACATGTAGAAGGTATATGGAAAGCTCCATTTGCTGACTAGACAGCCACCCCCACTTAGGCTATCCCTTAAGCCAGGTGTGGGCAGAATTCAGGCTCAAAGGATCTACTCCACTTGTGTCCCCCACCTTTAAATCAAGATCCATGATTTAAAGACAAAAGACTCTGAGCTCAGCGTAGTACCAGAACTGAACTGACCTTAGAGTCCTTCTACAAAATAGATCCATGGTTTACTACTACCCTCCCCAGTGCCCCCCCCACTTAATGCTTAATTTTTGTTATTATTGATCAGCTAGGAACAAGAAAGCTTTGCTGATGTACCTCAAATTATCCAGAGATCTACCACTTGAGCCATAAGCCCTTCTCCACAGGCACCAAGCATTTGTTCCGAAACCAATGATGTTTTACTTGTTTATGGCCTTCCCTGCATTTCTGCTTTAAGCTGAAGACTTTGGCATTTGGCACTGTAATGGTAAACATTTAGATCAGACAAAGTCTCCTTGGTTTTACCAGAACTTAATGGCAATGCCACTCAGCTTCAGATAAAAGATCCAGGTGCTAGTTTTCTATCCTGGCATGGAAGTTACCTCACAAATGTCACAAGTCACTTCTTCATTCCTGTTCTGTGCTAATGCTGTAGATCGTTATGATTTTATTTAGCTTTAGCTTTCTTTAAAATATTTCCAGTGGGAAATAAAATAAAGAGTCCCTACTCTTTGGAAGTCAGGTAACCAAATTTAAAATGTGTTTCCAACTTAACCTAATGCCAGAGCAACCATGTGTGATTAGCATTTCCTTGCATTAAGGTCATTCAGATAATTGAGGTTTACTGTCTAGAAAAGGGAGAGATGCCAAGCCCTTCCTCTCTTTTAAAGAGATAAGAGTGCATTCGCTCACCATAATTGCAAGAGAAAAAATTCCCTTAACAGCTTGAAACACCAGTGTGAATGTTAAAAGCAACTTTTGAAAAATTCTATGTAAAATTAAATTTTGAAAGATTAAATATTCAAAATTCTTCATAGCTTTGGCTTCTTTAAACGGAAGTTGTATCGAGGATTACAACTATGCACGAGCCTCTGCATGTCTCTGTCATATAGACACAGATATTAACCCTGACAGAAGAGTTCTGCAGTAACTGGTAAACCTTTATGCAATTTTTTAAAGTTCAAGTGAACCATCAAATCCATTCGAAGGAAAAATAAATAAAAGAAAAACAGTCTTTTGTTACCAAGCTATTGAGTATACAAGGCAATATAGTTCTTTCTAAGCATTTGCAGTAGCTGGGGAACAAGCATCTATTGTTTAAAAGTCTGTGTCATTCATTAATAGACCAGGCACTTTGAATTCTTTGGAGCACTCTCCATGCCTCACCACTAATAATAATAATAATAATATTTCAAAGCCATCACAAAAATTACTGAATTGCAAGTCAAATTTTCAAGAAGATACCCAAACAGGAAGCACTAGGATATGCAAACAGTACAGAAGTCCTTTGTGTTCTTGTGAACATTTTTTTTTTTTTTTTGGTATGCTTTGCCTTTCATCTTCTTCAAACTTGAATACATTTGTGCCATCCTATATACTCAGGAGAAAGCCTCTAAGTTCAACAGGGCTTACACCCAAGTAAGTGAGAGCACAGAATGGCACCTTTTGTTTTCTATATATACAATGTGAATTTAGCATAACACTCCATTCATAACAGCTGAATTATCCTGGTTTGCACCAGAAGGGATAGAGTTTTGAACTGAACCATTATTGTATCTGTATAGAAAAGAAGTGCCTTTATTGACTGATGCTGAGCCTCTTCCACAGCAATTGTGGTGGGACAGAGTTTTCAATATGTTCCCAGTTTAATGGGTGGGGGGTTGTGCAAATAGATACAGCGTGATACCTCACTAACATGCACCCCAAAGATATCAGTCATTCATAATGGAAACAGAGAAGAAGCTATTCTTAATGCTGAATGACCTTACGAGGAATGATTTAACCACTCAGTATTTTTGTGTCTTTTGTACTGATTGATGTTATACTTTTTTTTTTAAGTCAGAGATTTGCACTGCAGCATTCTAATGTGTACGTAGCACAAATGGATATGTGTTTTTAACATATAGATAGGGTAGGAATGGGGGCAGGGTTTAAAGAAACACACTGTGCTCATTTTATAATCAAATTCTAAAAGTATATCTGCACATCCCCAATTGTAAAAAACAGGGTAGTGAACATTGTTATCCACTCCCCCCCTCACAATAACGCTGAATGGTAGGTTTGTGTGTGTAACTCTCCTCCCCATCAAAGAATCAGAAGAAACCTTCAAACCCCACCTTATTTTAAAATAAAAAAACAGGAGGGGGGGGACATTGGTAAACACAAGGGGGATGCTTGAGGCCACCCTGCTTTTGGTAATGAAAACTGCATTAGGACATGAAAACATCTGTGTATAATTAAATATATTGCTTACATGTATGTATGTATGTATGTATGCATGTATGTATGTATGTCAGGCTAATGCTCAGAGACAAGACGAGAATTTCCTTGCTTAATATATAGCTCTACTTTTCTACCATTTTTTTACCTAACTCAGAGCTCCCTCTTCTGGCCTTACTTAGGCCTACCCTTCTGTATTAAAAATTCAAATACATTTAAAGTTAACACACAAAGAAAGGTTTCTCTCTTTGATAAAAGCAGTCTGAAAAGCAATACTCTAAAGTACTGTAGTTATTATTCTAATGGCACCAACATGCTTTTAGAGAGGGGGAGAGGATAACAACATGAAGAGACTGGAAGCACTGCCAATATGAGATGTAACAGGGAAGCGGACTCTGACTGGCTGCTTATAACAGTTCAAGAATGACCACTGTCTGGTTTCAGCAGTTTATTTTTAAGGAACTAGAGCAGGCTTCCTTAACCTCGGCTCTCCAGGTGTTTTTGGCCTACAACTCCCATGATCCCTAGCTAGCAGGACCAGTGGTCAGGGATGATGGGAATTGTAGTCTCAAAACATCTGGAGGGCTGAGGTTGAGGAAGCCTGAACTAGAGACACACACTTTCATATCCAGGATATTGTATTAGCTCCCTGAACAAGAAGGACAGAAAAACAAACTTGAAGTCAACTCATTTACAGACTTCCTAGGGAAATTTGGGCATCAGTATATTCTATGAAGAACCAAGAGTATCAGGTATGGTAATATTTTGTCAAGGGCAAGTGGAAGCATAATTTACTTCCTAACATGCAGAAAACCAGACATACTTAAAACGGGGGGTGGGGTGGGAGTTTCAACTTGGTTGGAAAGCTGTGATTATACATGAAGGGGGAAAGCCGGACTATTCGAAGTTTGGAAAAGAGGCATTAAGAGCAATGGAGTGAAGCCAGTGATAACATCACTCATCCAAGTTATGTCTTCCAATTCTTTATATTTAATACATATTGAGATGGATTTGTGGGTGGTTCACACATTGCCTCAACATGTTAGGCTGCACAAATTGCAGAGCATATGAGTGAGTCTTGGGCTTAGGCAATCTCCTCTTGAATGTGAAAATGGGGCCTACATGTCTAGGCTCAACTAAGGCATCTATTCACTGTTAAGAAGAAATGGATGCATAATGGACTTGGTATAAACATGAGTATGCAGAGGGTATACTCATGTATGAGTATACATATGGCACTCAAATGTTATTGGAAATGTGGGAGGGCCTTTGTGAAGGAAATATGTGAACATACTTTCAATACACAGAACTATGGAACTGCAGAATGTGTTCTTTCACTGAGTTTATTCTTCTAACTTTCTAAATTACTAGCTCTTCCTTTTCTTTAACAGACACACTGCTTTCAATACACTTTCACTAACATAATTTTTCCACTTACCCACACATCTGTCATCCCTTCTTGGTTAAGTTCCCACATTTATTCAAACTTTAAATTGTTGCTCTTTTAATGTAACTTTTTTGTCCTTTTATGGACCATTGTCTGCTGTGTATCCCTTTGGAACATGTCCCCTTCTGTCCAATGCAATTCAGTCTGTTTTAGGTACCCCCCCCCCAGTTTTTCTGTTTTAGGTAAGCCCCCCCCAGTTTTTCTGTTGCTCTCAACTGTCCTCCTGCTACCCAGCGTCAAACGGAGGTGAATGAAATGCTCACTTTGAATGCATTCTCTTCAGCTTCCCTCATTGCAACTTTTGAGGCAAAATCATTTCCCACCTAATTTTACCAATGTAGCTAAAACCATAATTTTTCTTCATACTGCTGAGGTTCCTGTTGCCCCTCCCTGCTGTTCTCCTCCCTTAAAGCACTTTTCAGGTCCACCTCACAAAGCAGTTTACATAAAATTATAAAAAATATTAAGCATCAATCAAACAAAAAAGGCAACTGTTTTTGTTTTGAAGGTGCTTATCTACTTCTTTCCTGTTTCCCTCAGGGCAAGACTGTTCTATGTGGTGACAGTTAGTAGAGGTAGGCTGAAGGGCAGCCCTAAGAGCTGCATGGTGGTAGCTTTCCAAAATGGCTCCTAGCCTACATCCATATGGGACCCCACAGAGTTTACAAAAGGAGTCATAACAAACCTTGCCCCGACAAGGGTATTAGTTGTCTCTCATTGAATAGATAATGTGTTTGGGCAACACAGAGCTAGAATAACTCAATGAAGTGATTTAACAGAAGCCACATCTTCATGGCATGAAATATGAGAGGAAAAAATACATGACTCAACTAAAGCTAACAAGATAAGTCACCCATAAGGGAAATAAACAAGTTCGGAGAAACATTCTGCTCTATAATATTTTATAAAACCCAAAGCTAAAACATGTTATTAATGACAAACAGGATGTTTGTTTTTTGATATTTTGTAGTTTCATAAAGATATCACATACTTGAGGGAAAGGGATTCCTTACCTGCAAATCTCTGAAGATAAGCAGAGTAAGTCCATCACAAAATGGTGTCTGTACACAGTGAAAAGAGTGTCACTGTTTTTGTTCCAAAGTTATAGGTCACAAAGGTTAATTCCTGTAAATACAGAAAGTTGTGTCAAGTGCACCCAGTACCTACAACAGCAGGGTCCAATTCGATACTAAGTCATCCATCCATCCAAGCACATTGCTAGACTTTACTTACTGACAAAGACTGGGTTCAAATGAATGACAGCATCAGCTGCCAGATCACATTCCATCCCAGTCCAATATTTTTTCATTACTGGAAGCAGCCTGTTAAGAAGTCAACACAAAAGAAAAGGGAAACAGAACAGAATATCTCCAAAGGGAGGTAGAAAAACAAACAAACACATCACTGAGTTTAAGCTCTCAGTCGATAGTGTAGAATAACAGTAATTTCAAATCTTTTTTACATCCATCTCAGATGATGTGCTCTGCAGCTTAAGATAAGCTATGAAAGAGGTTTGTTATCAAATTAAGATTTCAGAATATAAAAAGCACATGCCCTATTATAGAGCATTGACCCAAATTTCAATGTTTCCTCAGCCCACATAGGATATGGGTTAGAAGGCCTAGGGAAACTGTGGGGTTATGGAGGCTAAGTTGGAATCAAGCGTAATATGTGTGACTGCAGAATATATAAACAAAAACAAAAACCCTCAGAGTCAGTTCAAGGTACCCAATTTCATGTCACCAACTGCCATGCGGGAACAGTCCTGATGTATGCAACAATACTGTCTTGTGAATTTATTATTGTTGTTTTCATTTTACTTGTAAGCCACCTTGGTTAGAATTTGCATCTTTAAAGACAAGATGTAAATAAAGAGCATTTGTGTACTGGTTGTTAGTTAAGCCTATAACCAATTTCCAAGCTTCTCATGCACAAGTTCATTCGTAAATTTACCTCTTCTCTTAAACCAAACATTTTCAAAATATTTATTTGTATCCCTCCCCCTCCCCGAAGGAAATTCACTGAATATATTATTGTTTGAGGTATCTCAGCAGAGGCTAAATGGCCACCTATTACGAATGTTTTATTTATTCCCTCAGCAGGAGATTGGAGTAACTGACCTTTGAGGTATAATCCAACTCTATGATTCTATTAGCCTTCTCAGGGTGTGTGGTAGTAAGCAAAATTTAACTGATCACTCCTTCTAATGATGAACTCTGTTGAGTACTAGCTACATGGGAGTCAAAATGGGTCCAAGAAGAAACAAAAGTGAGGTATCAGCATGGTGGGGGGACGGGACACCAAGGTTTGCAGAAGTAAAAACAAAACTCTACGGAGGTGATCTTCCCCCACAAGCCTCAACTATCCCCCAGCATACTTGTGGATGTTTGGATGGCTCAGTGATTTGATGTTTATAAGGCAGCTTCATATGCTCAAAAATCATTTTAGTTTCTAACACAGAAAAAGTATAACATGAACATGATAAAATGGACTGAAAACACAAAACGCAACTAGAATACACGTTTTCCTCACATCAGTGGCATTTGCAAAATAAAATAAAAAAGACTTGAAAACGTAACATATAACCAAATGTTATTTAATATTTTAAAAAGTAACACAATCCAAAATGGATATTTCACACAACACTACATAAACAACATGAACACAATATTACCATATGGAGGGACTTTCAAATATAGACTTACAAAAATCCCTGTCCTTTTTTTTCTTTTAAGTTATTATACTAAGCATGACAAGTTATCATCATTTACAATATGGTACACTGAAACAATAAAAACCATGTCACAAATGTGCTGTTATAAATCAGTAACGTTAAGGGAAGACATTTCATGAACTGTATTATTTCATATGAAATACTATACAATATAAACAGAACATCCAGTTCGGATGACCTTTACAGCAACCAGAGACCAAGTAATTTTAATATTTTTTTTCAGTGCAAACACATTTATACAAGGCAGTCTTGGTTGCAAAACTCCCTTCTAGCATACAGTAAGTCCCACTTGCATTTATTAACTCATTTAAACCTAAAGCAACAACCACATTCAGTCACTCACAGGTTACCTGCAGAATTATGATCCCTTTAAATCTAAGTCTCCTGTTCATACAGAAGTTAACATCTGTGCCAATTATTCAACGGGCCCTATCTTTCATGCTCACAGGTGGGTGTCTGTAAGGAATTTAAACTGTCTATAACCTCTAATCACAGTATTGTTGTGAATCATTATGGAATAGCATCAAGGGGTGTGTGTGAGAGAGTTTGTCAATGAGAAAAGAACAGTTTGCTTAATGTTTCTTAGGGTACTTTTATGATGCAGAACAACTCAAAGTGGAGGCACTCTGGTGAGTTTGTGTTTGTGCATCATATACTTGGCATGATAGGAGTCTGGCAGTTGCAGAATATGATACACAATGGCTCTATGATAAACTGTGACCTGGGAACCATCTCCCAACAGAAGTACTTTGCTTCTGCCACTGTTAGATGGACCAAAACAACTTCTCTCATATCATTAACTATTCTTGTATATGCTGCATAGGCTACTGTTATTTTAAACTTTTCTAAAGTGGTTAACACGGCCTCTGCTTCTCAGTCATATGATGCTGGAACTGTCACCGTATTTTCTATGAACTATGGGAACTATGGGATACTTACAACTATGGGATGCTTCCATCATAGTCCCACTTAGGCTGTGGCCATACTATAGAGCAAGCCATCTTAACTCACCCCCAACAGAACAATGATGGACCAGCAGTCATGTATTGAGCCTATCAGGCACTTTAGATTTGAGCCCCATGTCCTTGCAGATCCAAGGCAGACTGTAATATTGTGAGCGACAGGCCTGCTGTACAACATATTTAGTTTAAGAGATAATCAATCCCTCTCATGCTATATTTTGTGAATACAAGTCACAAAACACCTCTATGCACACACCCCGTTGGGCTGGGCTGGGACCATTTTCACGACATGTTCTTAAAACTGAAATACTGAAACGAATTTAAAACACAGAGGCTTAAGTATTTTCTAGTAATTTCACATGAAAGCGAAGGTGGAACTAGAATGAAAAAAAGTGTTGTGGCTCCTTAAAGACTAACAGCTGCTCTGTGGAATGTGCAGGAAGTGGACTGTGGGCCACGAAAGCTGATGCCACAATACATTTATTAGTTTTTAAGGTACCAGAACACTCTTCACTTATGCTGCAAAAGACTAGCATGGCTGTGACATCTCATTATACTTTTATTTCATCCCATTGCCCAAACCCAGCAGAGCAAGCTCGAAAGACAGCTGCAAGATAGGAGAAACCTACACTTAGCAACTGGTTTCTGTGTGTGCTCTCTCTCAAAGTGATGCTGCGATGGTCACTTGTTAGGCAACGGAAAGTATGCCTTGATTGTCTAATGGGTAAAGAGGAGTATTACATTTTGGAAGTAGAGGGGTATAAATCAAATGAACTAGATTGGGATGATTATCTGTAGGATTATAACTTAAAAGTGATTTATTTAAGTTAATGAAATTAGTTGGAAATATTCTATGGAGGAGCAGAGAGGAATATAAACTACAGCAGTCTCTAATTTACTGAACTCAGCGATTTCACATTTGGAAAAGGCTTGTTCAAAATATGTATTTTAGTATTTCTCTCGTGTGTAGTAATTTTAGTTCTTTTTCACTAGTGAGAATGGCTATGTTGCTGGAAGTTAAAATATTTTGGCACTGTATTAAGGGCCACTTCAAGGCTCCAAAACGGTTTCTTTTCTTAGACAGCTTAAAAACTAACTTCGTAATGTTAACGCTGAACTTATTTTAAATATTAAACAAATGTTCAGTGTCACTAGGCAGTCAAACAAGTAGAATGAGGGAAACCCTGTATTTGAGAGGGTTTGGAACCTGGCTACATTGACTTGGAAACAAGTCATTTGACTGCAATGGAGTTTATTTCTACTAGTTAAATTTGCAAAATGCTTGAGATTTTCAGGAAAAAGTACAGTAGCAGTGCATTGCCAATCTTTCATGAACTGCTCTTTATAGCAAAACTTTGCCCCCCCCCCCCGGAAAGTGGTGAGGGAAATAATTGCTACTTCTTCCAATTGACAGATATGGCTGGTGATTTACTAAAGGCAAGAATGCTTTAAAACCACACAGCTATTTATGCTAATCTGCCTATTACAATGAGGACTATATTTATTCTGTGTGTCCATGACAGTACCGCACATGTGTGGACTGGAATCTGGGTCCTGCATAAGAGTCAAACAGGAGGCTCAAAAATACACAAGGGAAAAGCTAAAATTTTTAAAATGGCTCTGCACACGACTACCAGTGGTTGGGATGTGTGTGGCTTCAATCCTATGTGTGTCTCCCTCCCTCTCCTTCTTCTATATGTAGCTGGTGCAGGGAAAACATATTTATTTCTCAGGAGATGGCTCTTCTTGGTACAGAATCTGGATGACTTTGCTGTAGAATTGGGATTTTTTTTCAGGTACAGAACATTCACAGCCCTGACTACGATAAAGCCAGCATTATTTTAACTAGTTAAAAGGTTCTAACAATACGCTCCTCCAATCTTGTTTTGCATTTCTGTGTGAGTGATAATGGCATGGATTTAGCTGAACAACCCCCTAAAAATATACCTAGCACATTTATAGAGCAATCATAGCCTTGAAGGGCAGCTGCCATTCAATGCGCTTATTTCTGTCACCCCCACCCTCACAAAGGATGCTTCTGAAGATACTTTCTTAACTGTTCCTCGCTCTTTTTACTGTATGTTTAAAGGAAAAACACTCCTACGGCTTATTTGGTGGTTCTGTTATTATTAACACTAATATCAGGATCTCAGACTATTTATCTCATTGTGAAAAATATTGGGCTCTATAGTATTCAACCCCCAAGATGCGCATGATTGAGAAAACTGAGAGCGTATTACGCCAGTGGCCCACTTGGGAGGCAGATAATGCAAAGATTTAAGCTAAACTCTGGCATGATATGTTGCCATAAATGAAGGCAGAATAGGGCCCAAAGAGTTTAAATGGAGGCAGTAAAATACCCGGTGTGTCTTCTGCTAAGCCCCAAACTGCCAATCATATTCCATATACTGTATATATTTAACAGGCTTCTAAAGTACAAGCAACACTAGACTTTCTACCAGGTAGAAACTTCAGCAGAAATGGAAAGACAAAGGACAAATTTGAGCCCCCCTCCCCTTTGCTTATCTAAAAGATTCTATGACCCTTGTATAAAATCTCGTACTACTAAAGCCAAAAGCCAATTGAATACAGTAACAGGAAATCATGGCAATGAAAAATGACTTCATATGCAAGCACCGACACACAAGAGAACGTCATGGCCTATTTCTTCATAAAGTTTTAAACGTCGCTCTTAACAATACCCTTTTAAAAAAAAGACATGTTGCTGCATTTCATCAAATTCATGGAGGTAGTTATATGTGTAAAAAAGAATTTTACCATAAAAGTAACATGTTGTATTATAATAATACATATCAAGTGTGCAAAATGCCGACAGATTTGTGTTGACCCTTTAAAGTTGAACACAACATAGAGATTCAACGCATTCTGGTTCTGTAAACCTTTTAAGTTGATACATTAGAAGGATGATAGATGATCAACCATGCAATATAAGGTCATCATGATTTCATCACAGGATAACAGTGACAAAAACACTCAAGCTCCACTCCTGTGAGTATATGTCTATAATCTCAAAATGGACTTTCTTTATATTTCTTTTTGAAAAGAATGCACATTAAGAATGTTTCTTTATGTAAGTTTCATTTATATAACATGTTCCGAGAGTCACGTTAACGCTAATAAAATGCCACAAACATTATTGGCCAATAGCCATGCCAATATTAACAGGACCTTTTAAAAGCTTGTCTTTGGGGACCTTTAAATGTCAACCGAGGGAGAATTTATTGTTAAAACACTGGAATGATGTCTTTTGTATAACTGCTTAATGTATCCATTTCAATAATCTTAACTAATGGAAGCATATTTTCCATACATGGTAATATCTTCCTCATTCACATTTTTATACGACATATTAATTTTTACTTTCAGTTATGAATTCTGATATCATTCCAGCAATTGTAGTGAATTGATGCATACTATAAATATCAGAGCATGTCTCCAAACCTTCCCCCCACATTGCTACTGTATAGCAATTTCCTGCCCAAAACCTAATAACTCTGGAATCTGCATGTATTAAATATTCCCAGAGTTACCTATGTAAGGAATGAGATTTGTCAGGCAATGCATTTCTAGGTTATTATACCATAGCTTCAAAGGTATTTATAAGGCAGGAGGCCAAGTAACTAACCAACCAAGCAGCATAATAATCTCCATTATATGCACTGAGCCATCTCACTACTTGTAGCAAATAGAATGTATACATGATAATAAAGCAAGTATCTAGGCCTGATCCTTCACTGGTTGTTCCAGTTAGCAGGGCTACAACTCAAAGCTTCACAGGACCCAGAAGGCTCAGTGTGCACAATGGGATTTCATGTATGGAGCATTTCCTAACACTAAAGTTAAAGGAAGAGCTCCAGTTTGTTCAGTACTAAACACACATCTGAGTCCCTGCATATGTACCAGAGTGCCCTGGATTTGCAATGGACTGATTTACCCTGGTGTAAACTGAAACCAATTGTGCCCAGTGTTTGTAAAGCTATTTAATAAGCACCTGAAAGCTGTTTAAAACTGTTTAAGGTAAGAGTGCACTTTCAGAAGACAACACAGAACACAAGTGAAGCTTGAACAGGTTATACAGATCATCACCAGTACCTGATGAAAATACCGTCTTTAATGGTATGCTTGGTTATATCACCTGGGTATCAACAAAAGACAGATAGTGTAAATGTTAATCCATACAACAATTTACACTGCTTCTGATCTTTCTTATTGTATTTTATTATTCTACTTGTACCACCATTATGATTGTTTGAAAACAAAATTTATGCAGTACTGGGTTGCATAAATAACAGACAGCAGAATTTGGCCCTTTATGCTTTTCAAGTTTACTCTTGAAATTGCAGATCTCTCTAAACATTAATCTAGAATACTTTTCTTAAAAAATAGATTACTTTGGATTAGCAATTTCAGGACATACACATTAGATATAATAAACCTGTGGATACAGAACTTCTGCTATCAACTTTGTGAGACTCACAAAAGAGGTAACGCGATGTCTTTTATTGAACTAACCTTTGTTGATGAAAAACTTAGCAAGCTTTTGAGTACATCAACGAATATCTCATTTTCTCAGATCAAACAAATAATCTCTCTTCATCAGCGATCCACCTGGACACATTTAAAACTCATGATTATTTTTAAACTAAGTATTTCCATACAATGTTTACTCACAAAGAAATGTAATTCAATAAAAGGCCTGAAGTTTATTAGTCTCTAAATCTTTTCTCTACAGTGTATGCTAGTTTCAATAGCCTAATTTAGGCACTCTAAAAGCTACATAAAATAAAAATATAATATGTCCTTCCATAGAAAGAAATCAACCCTTCAGGCCATAATTCATCATTTGTATCACAAAGAGCTTTCTTCTTCTTCTTCTTCTTCTTCCTCTTCTTCTTTCTTCTTCTTCTTCCAAATTACTTTGATAATAATAATAATATTAATAATTTGGGGTAACAACTGGAGTGACACATTAAAAAAAGTGATCACTTTACTTGCCTTTTATATTTTTAAAAACAAAAAACACCTGTTACCTCTTCTATCACTTAGTGATGTGCCTCAATCAAAGTTAGGTTTCTCCTTCCTCACCTTCAATTCAAAGTCTTATATCCCTGCTTTCAACTAGGGGAAATTAAGAAATAAGTTTTAGGTAAACATCTCATACTTTAAAAAAATCAAAGTAAAAATAGATAACATCTCCATTATTCCCCACCTCTTCCCAAAAACACAACCTCTTTTGACTTACTTTTGCTATGGATTCTTGCAAGATCATGTCATGAAGACTCACAGTGAAAATGACAGATGTATAAATAATTCACAGGTAGAGCTGAGGTCTTTCCTAGACTCATTTCGCATTGTTTTCCCTCAAGGTGACCCTTAGCTGTTTACTTTCAACAAAGGCTCAGTTTATAAAGGAAAAGAACCATCTCTGTGGCAAATAGTTTAACCAGTGGTAGGGGGCATCACATATCTGTGGCATTTTAAAATGAAGTTGGCAACTGCATGACATTGAAAATGCAGATTACACTTACAGTGTCTAGACTTTCATATATGTGCTCAGTTACGATTAAGTGAAGCAAAAGTGTACATATTATCCCTACTGCTATTCTCTTGCTACAGAGCCGCAAAATGTGAAAAGCAATACCTTGAAATAAAGATTTCTTTGTTGTCCCTAGCCTATGTAGCAACACAGTTTAGGTAGACACAAAAACTGTGCGGTTGAGATGCCTGGTTTCCCCCCCCCTCCAAAAGACGTAAACATCAGTCCCAGCGTCGTAAACTTTGCTGTATAGGATGAGACAGAAGATCTGAGGCAGAAGCACTATTAAACACTTGTAACAGAAGCTTGCAGGCAATTAGCAGGTTTCTGCAGTTTTTCAGTTTCGCTTGTTGGCGGGTCAGCAGTTGCACGGAAGCTGAACACTGGACCTGCACCACCATGTGCAGGACTGAGAGCTGGGTTCTGGCGCCTGTTGCTTTCAACAATGCTTGACGTGTTGGAAGCTAAGCTCTCACGAGTACTAGAGAGAGAAGGGGGGGAAATAAACACACATATAACAGTTGTACATATATCCATCTACTTGCCTGCAAGAAAAGGTAACACAGAAGGTTATATAAAGGAATTCCTACTTTTGCATTTTAACAGCAAGCCAAGGACCCTAGTTTAATAAACCATACTGTGCACAAGCCCAATTGCTCCTACTTCTCTCTTGCCTTGACATCAGTGGGTAAAAAAACCCAGCTTAGCGTGATGTCCGATTATGGTTTGTTTCCTTCTTAAAAAGCCAGGATCTCTAGCCAGACTCAAGCCAAGTTTGTTGTTGACTGACAAACCAAAATTCTGGGTTCAGATGCTTCCACATCACAGAAAGTCAAATTATAGCTTAACAGAGCTGTGTAAACATGCAGACTCCTGGAGAAGAGCTCACAGTTGCTTTTCGCATCTTCTGTGTTTTTAACTCTTGTGATGTGCTCATGTTGTGGCTTTGCATGTCATCTGAACTCATGATCAAAATTCTTCAATATATGTTATAATTAATAATTTCAATACTTTACGCAAGATTTAAGAAGTCCTTAATACTGAGCCCATGTCAAGGTGCAGATATTGTCAATTGTTGTTCAAGTGAGGCAAACAATATATCCCTCTTGCAGGTGAAATGTAGCACCTTTCCATTCCAGACTGGTGCACTCAAGAACAGGGTTGCCCTGGACCAGACGTGTGGCTGCATGACTGAACTAAGATATAAGAATTACTGCTGTATCACAGGCTCCACTGAGCACAGGCACTTACTGCTCCTTATGTAGCATACAGAACATTTCAGGATAAATCTGAAAAGCCTTTAAAAATAATTTCTATATATATCATGCTGTCAGCATGACACCTTTTCCATAATTTTATCATGCAACCATGACAAAAGACTGACCTTATCCCTGCCTAAAATATGTGTGGGCCTAGGCATGTTACCAATATTCCTTTGGGTATCAAAAACATCATCCGTAGTAGACGGCAGGTAGTAACTACAGGTATAGCAAGTGATGCTTGGCACTCCCAGGGCAGGGGCAAAGAGAAATGATGTGCATGCATGAACCTACAAGACAATTGTAATGTTTGCTTCTGAATTTCTTTACTTTCCCCTTCTGTTACCCTCCTTTTTTTCCTTCTGTGTAAAGCAACATTCACTTTTGTCTGTTATAGTTAAGTATCATTCATGTTTTATGTTAAGAATAGCAGTGGCTCTTTTATTTTTCATAGTGTGAAGAAAGAGCTGTGAGTAGAGGGGCTCCCTCTTCCCATCCTCTAGACCCCCCTGGGGAACCCAACAAACCTGCTGTACCTAGAAATTGGTATAGAGAGTGCAGCTCAATGGGACACCGCTGTGTGCAGCCTGAGGAAGTGCCATCCACCTTGGGCCTGCCCATAAAAACAAGTCTAGAGTGAAAGATTAGGGTGATGTCCACTATTTCCATGAGCTCTTCTTGTTGTGGGTGAATTGAGTGTTTGTTTAGACTTTGGTGAGAACCCAGACGCTGAGAGGAAGGGTGAGTTAAAAGGCAAATGAACTGATATTGATTTATATACAGTGGAATCTTGGTTCTCAAATGACTTAGATGACGAAGAAATTGGCTCCTGAACACTGAAAACCCGGAAGTAAGTGTTCCGTTTTCTGAACGTTTTTCGGAAGCCAAGCGTCCAATGCAGCTGTCGGCTATTGTTTCCAGGGTGCCTGTGCCAAAGACTCTCCTCCCTGGAAGATAGGGGAGTGGTTGTGGGCGGGAGCCCGAGCACCACCCCTAGCAGGGGGCATTAACCCCCTGCCTCCTCCTCTCACCTGGCTGGCGCCCACGCCCCCTCGGCAGGCATCCAACCAGGTGCCTTCGAGGGGGCGTGTTCAGTAGCCTTTGCGGCGGCGCCAGCCTCTCCTGGGCCTCATTCTTCTCCGTCCTCTCGTCGCGAGGACGGTGAATAAATATACTGGTGAATAAACCCCCTTGTTTTAGACATCCAATGCCTAAGCCAATACCTTTTCACTGCTGTAATCAATAAAGTTGTGGCCTTTTCTTGCCCATTAACCTTATATCACGTGTCCTGTGTATTTATTTCACATCACGGGGGTCGGGTCCTCGAACCACAATCGGAAGCCGTGTCTTGGTTTCCGAACATTTCGCAAGTCAAACGGACTTCCGGAACGGATTAAGTTCGAGAACCAAGGTTCCACTGTATATATATTTGTATTAATGTAACATTTTTGTACGTAACTGTGTATTTTTGAAATATTTTAAGTCGTCTGTTGTTGCTTCAGTTTTCTGTATGCCACCTAAGAGATATTTTTAGTATATTAAGCGGCATAGAAATTAAATAATCAAACTAATCAATTCCTACCTCAATTCCAAGTTCATTTTTAGGCCATTAATATCTCATATGAAGCCATATTGTTCAGCCGGTGGTAAATCCTTCCCAGATAACCCAATTGCTCTGCCACAAATAGAATGTTATAGCCAGCCAATTCCTGAAATGCCATCATTCTGCAGTGGCATTTCAACTAGAGAGTGATCATGGTGGAAATATCACATCAGTAATAAAACAGTAAGAATGAACACCCAAGGCACACTTCTCACTGAATATATAGGGGAGATATGGCATTATGGACTATTGGTAGGAGCTCACAGCACCATCACCAACAAATGTTGCTGAACAGAGTTGCAGATTGTGTAACTCTAAAAAAAATATATACCACACTTAATTTCCAAATAAACTCAAAGAACAAAATATATAAAATCCCCAGTAAAATAAATATTGGTGTAATGTAAAAATAAATAAAAAGAATAACAAGAATTAAAATCCCACTAAAATCAAGACAAAGATAAACCAGCAAAGAGAGAACAATCTTTTAAATTAATTAATATTTTTACCAGCCACAAATACAATATAGTGTGGACCTAAGACATCTAAGCTGGCATTCTACATGTGTTGCACAGGAGGGAAAAGGCCCAAATCATAGTTACTGCGAGTCCTGCTTCCTGGGATTGAAGGATGTAGAGTAGGGCTTCGCATAAATGACTGGCAATGTCGGGAGAAATGTGCAGAAAAAGGCAGTTCTCAAGGTAATCAGTGCCCAAAAGGTCAACACTAGCACCTTGAATTGGGGCCAGAAACACACCAGTAAACAGTGTACAGATCACACAAAACTGGCATGACAGAATCAAAATATCGAGCACCTGTCAGCAACCTGGCTACAGCATTTTGCAGAAGTTGCAGTTTCAGAACACTTTTCAAGGGTAACCAACCGCACATAGAGCACTTATCAGCAGCAATGTTATTGTTATTGCCATTGGCCTTAACAATTTTCATATAAAATTTCTCAAACACAAACTTCAAGGAAGTAAAAAAGCTTATATATATATTTTTAACCCAATACATTAAAATTACAAATTAAATTAAAGGTATTTGCTATCTTCTACTCAGATATCTTCCACACCAGCTGTTTTGATCCTTTCCACTTCTTTCTCTCAAAGTTAAAACACACAGCATGTTATAAGGGTCACAAAAGGCTATAACACCCAGCTGGGTTGTTTCCTGTGAATTACCTTCTTATATTACCTTCCATTCTAGGAGTATGGCAGCCAATGTAAGAATCACTCACTGAAAGGGAGCTTCAGCAATATAAAAATCTAAAAAAACATGTGGTAGCAACCTGGAAGATTGGAAGGAAGTAGAGAAAGCATGCTTATTCTTCCCCTCCATCCCAGTTCCTTGGCAATATTAGCATAGATGTTCTAGATGGACAGATGGGTTCATGTCCTAGGCCAACTGTCCATTCTCTCAAAATAGGAACAAATTATGTTTACTTTTGAGTGAATGCAATATAGCTCTTTATATGAAGAAACTGCTTAAGTAACAAATAAAAAGTGTGTGTGTGTGTGTGTGTGTGTGTGTGTGCGCACCAGTAGTGTATCTACAGTGGTAACTCGGTTGTTGAACGTAATCCGTTCTGGAAGACTGTTCGACTTCCGAAATGTTCGACAACTAGGCAAAAAGGGCTGGCTGCCAAGTCAATGGAGAAAATTGGGGGGGGGGGAACGCAGTGGAAGCCATTTGATACCCGAAGTGCATTCGAAAACGGAAGCAATTACTTCCAGGTTTTCGGTGTTCGAAAATCAGAATGTTCGGCTTCCAAGGCGCTCGAAAACCAAGGTACCACTGTATTTTCTGGTTTTCGTCTGCACCAAAATTAGATTGTAACTTGTGCTAATTGCTCATAAAATGTGTATGAAACTATACAAATGGATAGTTGACTACAGTGCTATATGGAGGGAAATGTAGGAAACTGCAGAAGAAATTTAAATCCATGTTCATATATGTAGTTCTTCCAGAGGTATTAATCTGAACTGGCTCAATTCAGGTGTTTCTCCAAATCCTGGTTTGTTTCCTCTGAGGCTTCTCTTTCCGTTACCTGCTTAGCATGAATCCTAATTTGCTTTGCTGTGTGACTTGTGAACTGGCAAGATAGGCCTGTTCTCCAATGCAGCATCAGAAATCCACCTCAAGCCATGGTTTCCGATCCTGGTTTCGAGAGCAATTACTAACCATAGTTTGCTGGTTTTGTTGTTACAGTAAATTAAGGATTATATCTAAGAGCAAGGAATGCACTCAGTGTAATCCATGGAAAATAATCTGAAGAGAACCTTAGTCATTAACAGACTAAAACCCCTGTCCCACACATACAGAGGGAAAGTGCAAAGAATTCCACCCCAACCGTTACTTTGAAAATCCTGTTGAGTGGCATTTTGCAGGGTAGTAATGCACAGAGATTTGGAAAACACTCACTAAGTTCTTCCCTGAGCCAGTGAAGAATAAAGAAAATAAAAAGAAGGGGTGAGAAGCTTCTGTCTATGAGAGAAGCAATACAGGAAAGCTGCCTAATATTGAGTTGGAATACTGAACCATCTGTGACAGTTTTGCTGACACTGACTGGCAGTGGCTATCCAGGGTTTCAGACAGGAGGTGTGTTCCCAGCTCAACCTGGAGATGCTAAGGACTGAACCTAAGATCTTCTGCCTGCAAGGCAAATGCTCTCCCTCTGAGCTATACAGAGGCAGAGAGATTAGATTACAGAACCTGCAGGATAGAAACAAAAGCCTGCCTTTGACATTCATAATGATATGGATACCATGTCCATAAAACTGACATTTTTTTTAAAAGCCTTGGTTGAAATAGTCAAATAAAATTGCACCTCCACACACCCTGGAAAAGGCAGCCATCACCACACAGAAAGCTTTGCTGCTTTTCCTCAGGCCTCATGCAACAGTATAAGATGCAGGTAGTTTGATAGAAGCAATTTACTTTTAACAAAACACGTGCAATAATACCATCCCCGTCTTTGTCTGGTCTCCAAGAGCTACAGACCCAGTAGAAAATAGGCCAATTTGAGAAACAACAACAGAGCTCTGTGGGAGCTGACCAGAAAACAAAGACAACAGCAAGGTCCACAGAAGCTCAGAGAAACCCGTAATTAGAGCCTCCGGCACAGGAATCGAACCTTCTAGGCACAGGCTCCCTGAGTTAACAGCAAGAAGCAGCTGTGAGGAAAGCAAGCTCTCTTTCCAGAGCCAAAGAGCAACAAGATCCAGCTAACAGTGCTATTTCATGCATGACAAATTTCCGACAGAAGATCATTTCCGCGTAGGAAAAATGTCACAGCCTACAGTCTGATCACCAGATCTGACTATCTGTACAACTTCTTGCCTTAGATTAAGAAACAGTGTGGGAGGAACCTGATCTTGTTGAGATCATGCTCTCTTTTCCTCCTGCTCTGTGGCCTCAGAGGACACAAGTCTAGTCTAGCACTGCTAGAGGAAGCAACTGTGGGCTCCACAGGCATTCTTCCCAATGAGTTGTCCTTCCAACATTGGTCGCTCACTACTTTCGTCTTCATTTCAGGATAACTGATAATATAAAGACTATTGCAATCATTACCAGAAGTCTGCAGAGATTGGTAGGGTTCACTATTCATTGCAATAAAACAAAGAATGACTTGACTCTGCAATCCTATAGGATCCCTTCTATGCTCGAGTGTATAAACCTAGGCAGATAATCCATATAGGCAAGAATTTCACCACACAGCTGCATCATGTTTGAGTATCTGTATCACATCCATTTTTGCCAAAGCTTAAGGAAAAGTATAAGCAGAGCTTGGCTCTGTTGGGTTCATGCTCTCCCTTTTCGGCTGATAAAAGCTTCCTTTACCACTTGACGGTACGGTGACAGAGCTCATTCAGAAAGAGTTTGGTTAACTTTGTGAGCTTAAAGGTTGATTATTAGCAGAATAATACTGACCTAGTCATCCTCTGAAATAATCACAATTATCCCCAGTTGTGTAAACAACCTCACAAATGTCTGGTGGCTGCCTGACTTGGGAAGAGTAACCAACCAGCCAGCATAAAGTTAGCAGAGAAAACCTGCTATAAAATGCTATCATCGAATAACAGCCCAGCTTCGTAATACTTAATGCGTATGTAGGACACAATAATTTAAGATTAAAATATTACAGGTTTTGGTAAATTTGTGTTAAGATCTTACCGTGGTGAATTGAACCCACTGTCGACGGTGATGCTGCTGCTGTCCATGCTGTCCAGTCTTGCTGAATGTGTGGCTCTCTGGTTGTTGCTGTTTTCCGTTTCCTTTGGAGCAAGGAGAGTCAGATTCTTCTCAAACTTCCTTTGCAGGTCTCTTTCTTTTTCCCGCTCAAGAAGCCACTGCATAGTGCCCACATCATCCCGGTTCTTTTCTTCTTCAGCGTTCTTGTTGGTCCCTTCGTCAGAATCGTCATCATCCGATACGTTGTAATAGTCAAAGGATGCCTCTTGGTTCCCGGCTGTTTCTTGCTGTCTCTGTGAAACAGGTAGGACTTGTGTTACGGAGGTCACCATAGCTTGCTCGAGTTTGTCGCCTCTGCCTGGCAACGCATCAGAAGGTGTCTTTTGATGAGGTTTTAGTAGTGGCACACTAGGCTTGTGAAAACTGTTCACAGAGAGAGTACTGTGGAGAGGCTTAAAAAGTGTGTCTTTACTAAATATTTCTTTCCTCTTATCAAGGCTACTAGATTCCGTGTTGTGGTGTTGAACCAGTCGGCCATTTGCAATCACTTCGGGGGTTTGGCTAGTTGCAACTGGTCCACCGCTGCTGTTTGGCCCTTTAGGTGACTCCTCTTTGTGCACCCCAGGCTCTCTGGCTATGTGCTGAGACTGCCTTTCTGAGGGAGACACTTTTTTAACACTTTCTGTCAAAATCACTGTGTCGTGGTCTTCTTTATTTTTCCCCAAAGGTGAAGGAGCAGTAAGTACAGTTTCGCTAGAAGTGTTACACTGAAAATAATCATCAATTGCTGATTTCGTTGTACAGGAGTTGAGCTCATTATACGGGGGCAAATTCTCGGCTGGCTTGCTTTGTTCCAAGAGGCTACAGGAAATGGGAGTTTCTGCATTGCCACCAGTCTTTTCAGGTTTAACTACTTCTTTGTAGTTTGCAGATGACATAAGAGCCCTTTGATGACTGAGTGATTGAGAAGGCCTTAAGGTGCTATCGTCAATGTACGTTTGGCTGGTTGTTTGGTCATCTTGACTGCAAGCTTCAGCTATGTCTTCAGGTGTACCTAAAGAAGGAGCACCCAGAGGTCCTTTGGAGTTATCCATTGATCGAGACCGCTCCTTGGCTTTATTAGACCTCTCATTCCTTGATCTTCGGTCCTGCGTATGGCTGTGGCTTCGATGGACCTTAGAATGGGAGCTTCCCCTTGAAGGTTCAGGAAAAGGCATTTCAGTTCTCCTTTTGGCTAGTTCACCAGATACATCCCATTCAGGTGTCATAGGAAAGTGAGATTCAAGAACGTTAGGGCTGCTGTGCATAATGAAATTGTCCCTCTTGTGTTCTATTATGAAACAGCCTTCACGTGGGGACCTTGTGAGGGGATCATAGAAATCATACTCTCTTTCACCCGGAACGTCCAAATGGGAGCCCTCTGAAGGATCCCCTTTAGAGACCCGAGTTTTGCTATGTGACCGAGATTTCCCATGAGACTTCCTATGACTTCTACTTTTTTTGCTTCTCCCACTATGGTGAGCTGAAGATCCAGCTTTGCTTCGTTGAGCTTTTTCTTCTTCAAGTTTCTTCATTAGTGCAGTGTGCCTCATGACATTTTCCACAGTTAGATCTGGGTTAATACGCCTAATAATCTCCATCTCTACCTCCCTAGGTATAGTGGTAGGGGTATCTTCATCCCTCAAAGGCCATTCTTCTGGAGGAAACTGGGCAGAAAAGTTGGCCAGCTGTTTTGTCTTGTCCTTTTTGAAGCTTAGTCGAAACAATTTTAACCCAAATTTCTTAGACTGCTTTTCTCCATCCTTAGGCTTTGTAAGTGTCTCTGTTTTATACGAAAAATTTACAGTACTTTTACTTTTTTCAGTGGGTGGCACCTGGCACATGGAAGGGGGGCAGTAGGAGTCCTTGCAGTCTTTTGCCGATTTCCTCTGTAGAGTGGAGGCATGCATGCTGTGCATGTCTTCTCTACAACAATGGCAGGAGTCGCAGTGGTTTTTGGGTAATGTCCGGTCTCTGACGCAGCCCGAGGTGGAAGGCGTTATAGTTCCTTGCTGTGGAGAGGTACACTGAGACCTGTCAGGTATCCTCTCATCCAGATGGTACCATTTACTGTTAGTTCTAATAAGGGATGGTGTTATAAAATAAGTCTGTGGGGTCACAATGAAGTAGCCATCTGGTGTTGGGTATATTTTCCTCTCCCGTACCAGCATGTTTAAGGTATGACGAAGGATTTCTGGACTTGGCGTTGGAACACCTGAAAACAACAGCAAAATGTATTTATGAGTTCCTTTTAACCCTTCCCAAAGTATGCAGATCCTTGACATGATCTCAAAGATAGTTTCTGCTGAGCAAGCAAAACTTGGTCAAGCATCCTCCAGCATGTTTGCTTTTAACCTATCTCTTGCACTTGAGGTCTCTAAATTATTAACTAAAAAGGGAAAGCACTAGCAGAATGTGAAAAAATCCCCTTATTTATTTTCAACGTGTTGGTGAACCTTAAGGTTCAAAGTTACACCTCCACACCAAGCCCCAAACTAAAAATCTTTATTAAACATTGTGGATTCTTCTCTCACACACCACTTACCTTGATAAATATTTAAATCCTAATTAGCCAAGTTATTGCACATAACACAAAAACAAGGCAAGAATAAATATGCTGTTTTTGGTATCTGCACATGTATTTAAATAAAGAAATCATATCAGAAAATTAATAACAAATGTCCATGGGGAGGGAAATACACCTTAAAGAAGCAGATCAACATTTCCCTGATTATATCGCAAACTATTATCTTAAGGAAACTGAAGGTGCAGAATTCAATCTAAAAGAAAGTGTCGTTTCAATATCAGGAGAAAGTCAGATTATGTCAAATTTTTCACACAATACACAGATAGCATTAGATTTTGAACTTGAGGTAAAGCTAACTGTAAGACCAATTCAGAAATGCAACAGGTTGACTAGAGCAGTGTTTCCCAACCTTTTTTGGGCAAAGGCACACTTGTTTCATGAAAAAAATCTCGAGGCACACCACCATGCCAGATGGGGAAAGGTCACTTTTTACTTATGTAAAAAAAAATAAAAAAATAGTAACAGCATAGAAGGTAATGGTTATCTCTTTGATGTCTGATGGGAGGGCATTCCACAGGGCGGGCGCCACTACCGAGAAGGCCCTCTGCCTGGTTCCCTGTAACCTCACTTTTCACAGTGAGGGAATTGCCAGAAGGCCCTTGGCACTGGATCTCAGTGTCTGGGCTGAACGATGGTGGCGGAGACGCTACTTCAGGTATACTGGACCGAAACCGCTTAGGGCTTTAAAGGTCAGCACCAACACTTTGAATTGTGCTCGGAAAGGTACTGGGAGCCAATGTAGGTCTTTCAAGACAGTCGTTACGTGGTCTCGGCGGCAGGTAGCAGCGCTCACAGCTTACGGACTGCACCGTGTAACAGGTGTCTGGCCCAGCAGCCTAAGGCGGACAAGCCACTGAAACAGGCATTCAGAATCCATTCATTTCATAAAACCTGCAGGGCTCAATCTCTGTGTTTGTGTATGTGTGTGTTTCTGTTTTGCCCAAGGGTCTGGGGGTGGGAGAGAGCTCTTTAGCATGATGCTTTTAAAACAATTAAATTATCAACAAACAAACCTGATGATACGAATAGCAACGTCAGGTGCTACCGGGGGGGGGGGGAGAAGGGGGCCTACTCGGAAGTAAATACTGCGTCCAGGCGCAATTAGCGCTGATTTAAGGTGCACCAAGACTGCCTAAAAACCTCACCAAAGATATGCAACAAAGCGCTTCGTTGCAGAGGGGAGAGTTTGTGAACCGTGGAGGCTGGAGGGCTTCTATTCTACATGCGGGGGTTGGGGGGCGAGGAAAATGTGCTCCGTGGGGGGGCGGGGAAGGCAAGAAAAGGAGCTGAGCTCTAACTATAGGCTCCCACGCTTGAGCAGGCCCGACTCGGTGGGGCGGACCACCCTCTCTCCTGGAGGAGGAGGAGGAAGAGGAGGAGGAGATTCCCATCCACGGCGTGGCCTCCCGCGCTCCTGAACGGGAAATCTCTGCAGCCCAAGACTCTCCGCGAGGCAGCTCCTCCCTTCCTGCCTTGAGCCGCCGCCAGCCGCGCCCCCCTCCCCAGTTATCTGCTGCCTGCCAAGCCCCGCCCCTCTTCATTGTCCTCCCCTTCTGTTTATTCCCCTTCCTCCATCCCTCGCTTTTTTCCCTCTCTTTCCTTTTTTAAAAAAAATATTTTCTCTTCCCCTTCTTTTTTTCCACCCTTTCTTTTTTCTCTTTCTCCCCCCCCTCCCCGCCCTCCTGGGTTAAAGGATTTGAGCAATGGGTCTGGAGGTGGAGCTCGTCGGAGGATTAGCCCGACTCGCCCGCCTCCCTCCCACGGCACACTAGGCAACGTCTGGCGGCACACTAGTGTGCCGCGGAACACCGGTTGGGAAACACTGGACTAGAGAAACCGTGGAGGCTTTATGCAAAAGCTAGACAAATAAAATAGCTTCACAGTGAATATTCAGTATGAAGATGACAAACAAAGTATCTTAAAGAGATTGTTCTTTTCCATCCCATATGGCTGAATATGCAACCAAAGAAACTGTGCAGCTGCAAGATAAGATGCTACCCAAATTACTGTATTTACATGAATCTAATGCGCCATCAAATCTAATGCGCACCCTAATTTTCGCAACGTAAGTTGGCCAAAAAAGGTGCGCATTACATTTGAGTAAATACAGTAAATTTGTATGCTATTAAAGGCACATGTTAACTTTTTAAAGCAAACTTACAAGGCATGAAGAAACCATTAGTTACCAAAGAAGACATAATGGATATAGAATACACTATTGATTTGGAAAGTAATGGGGGGGGGGCGGCGACGCCAACCAAAACCAAGATTCCAAAATAATCTTACAACAACAAATCAAGCTTGTTTCACCACCCATCCTAAGGCATGTGCTGCAGCCATCCCATGCATAATGAAGGCTTTTAGATCACTTTCCTGCTTATGTCTGAAAAAAGTACAAGAAAAAGTGACAGTGTGAGAAAATTTGCTATAAAATGTGTTAGGCTGTGCGAGAATTTTTAACACCATCTTAACGTCATCATACAATCATGAGAAGAAATCCAGTTATTTGAAAAAAGAAAGAAAAAGCTTTCATACTTTTTTGGGGGGGGTTCAAGCTGTGGAGGCACACTCTAAGTGCATTACTCATTATTCCTTTCTAGATTTAATTTAAACTTGGCACTTTTTGAATTTGTCACCTTTTTCAGTCACTGGAGGGCAAGTGGAAAAGGTGACAAATTTTTAAAAAGAGCTGGATTTAAGCACTGGCTGGAAAGAAAGAACTGGGAGGGCACTTAGGGCATGCTCCCGATTTTCCCTTTTGAATTTGGCATGCCTGAAGTCATGTGGTGAACATGTAGGCAAGGTTTAGGTCAAATGGGGAGGAGGCTTATAGGCTGGAGTTCACCACCATTGCGCTATATCATAGTGGCTCAAATATGTTAGGATACCATTTCAAAGCAACATTTCTGTACCCTGCAGAAACATCTTCAAAAGGCCTAACAGTACAACACGAATTAAGTAGCATAATTTAATAGAGCCTCACAATTTATTACAAATGCACAATCCATTTTAGTGCAGTGGCCTGCCAATTCTCCCCCTCTCTCTGCACCCTCTTGCCCAATGTGCTACTTTCCACTGTGTTTTAGAGGAGGGGTTGCAAACCTTTTCAGACCAGCATAAGTACCTTGAATTTTGAGAAAGCTGCAGGCACCGGTCACAAAACAGCAGCCATAAGGGGCCTATCGTAACGAAACATTAGAGAGAGCAGAGTCATTGCTGATTACTCCTCCCACCCCAGAAACCTCAGGCTTACCATGGGAAGTCAGCTATGTCCTGTTGGTACCGATTGTGGAGATCACACAAAATTGTTTTCTCCCCCACCACTTCAGGAAAAATATACAAGGCAGCGACAACATTAGTTCTCTTACTCACCCACAGACATACGTGCATCTCTCTCTCTCTCTCTCTCTCTCTCTCACACACACACACACACACACACCACATAAACATCTCTCTGTGTCTCCCACAAACCACACATAAATGCAGACCACATATTCATACCTACCTAACAGGGTGCGCTCCCGTTGCTCGGTCCCAGCGCCTGCCAACCTAGCAGTTCGAAAGCACCCCCGGGTGCAAGTAGATAAATAGGGACCGCTTACTAGCGGGAAGGTAAACGGCGTTTCCGTGTGCTGCGCTGGCTCGCCAGATGCAGCTTGTCACGCTGGCCACGTGACCTGGAAGTGTCTGCGGCCAGCGCTGGCCCCCGGCCTCATAAGTGAGGTGGGCGCACAACCCTAGAGTCGGACACGACTGGCCCGTACGGGCAGGGGTACCTTTACCTTTACCTACTACCTTTAATAATAACACATCTCCGTTTCACTGACCACACATACTGTATATGCATAGGTCCGTCTGTCCCCCCACAGAGAACTTATACACTTCTCTCTCTGTCTCTCTCCCCAAGGGCACTTCTCCCTCACATGCATAGGTATCCAAATGATTTTTTTGGTAGGAGGAGAATTTCCAGGGCTACCCCATTCTCTCCCCCCCCCCGCCCAGGTGGGTGGGTTCAAAGTAAAATACTGACAGTCAGGAGCAGGCTAATTTCTCGCACAAAATGAGAAGCTGCCTGTACATTCTGCCTCACATCTCACGCTCTAAAAATGTTAGAAATGTGCTCTTTAAAAAAGAAGAAGCTGGGAATCTGAGGGTTGCAATTAATCAAAACCCCTATTTTAGAGGGTCCTGCAACCTGAAGGTATATCTCTTCCATACCGGCAAAATAATTAATTCAAATGAGCCCTATAACCATTGTCTTATATTATACCCATTTTAAATTTAGAGAAAACTTTATAGGTTAAATGCACCCCAAAGATCACACAAAATTCATGTTACTACCACGACTAGCAATCAGATTAGATAAACTTCTATTAAAATATATTTGTATGTCTAGTTCATCTTCAAAAGCTACCTCATTCCTACACTTCACCAGTAAATTCTTTCAATGATAAAAAATAAATAAAACACAGCGAAACCGGAATTTAAAATACTGCCTGACAGCAGTAGTGTTATTTAAGATTATGTAGTGCTTTAATAATTCAAAAGCAAAATCTGTCTGGACACTGAATCATCAGACATGTACATTTTCCACATCTCAAGAAAGTGTGCTGTGCCCTCCACTGAGCTTCCAGACAGAAGATTATGTCTTGTTTGCTGGCCACAAAAGAAGGCTGACCTAAGGTGAACCCAGTTAAATGTAAGACACATTTCAAGCTGCTGTGTGTAAATTGGATGCAATTTAGAAAGGAAATGTATAGGAATCCCAGTTTTAGAAAGAGGCCACAATGAAGCATGGCAGCTGTCAGAAAATGACTTCCTCACTTCTCAAGGTAACAGCAGCATTAATAGTTATATTGCATTTCAGTTTACCGTGCCTAGATAGTCCCATACATTATGCTAATTTTGTAGCTACTTTGACAGTGAAAACGGCCAAAACGTCTTCCCTTTTGTTGCTGCATTCTAATGACTGGCACCTATTCCATTTGCCTTCCCTAGCTTGGGCTCAGGGAGCATTATTCAACCTGCCTTCCAACAAATATTGAACATAACTTTACATAAAACGATTTCTTTTAATAAGATAATAGGCATTCACCGTGTTTGCCTATTAGGAAGAATTGTTTTATGTTCATCATTATAGTCAAGCTCTGCCAAGAGATTTGTGGAATCTCTCTCTCCTCTATATATGAGGATAAGCATGACAAGTGGAGGCCAACCTGGCCCTATCCAACAGCCAGAAAAGGAACAGTTGCAGTGCCATTGCTTCTTCACTTCCTGCATGGAAGAACACTCTGCTCCAGCTGGGAGTGCAGAGCTGAAGGGATGTTCTCCTAAGGTTACTGGGAGGCTGCATGCCTTGCCTCATAGGAAGAACATCACAGCAAGGAAGAGATCAGCTTGGCCCCATCCATTGGCCGGTGAAGGTGCAGAATACTCAAATGCTTCCTTGCCTTCCCATCTTGTTTTCCTTTTGTATTATGTCTGTTAGATGGTGCATGTCCATAGGCTCATAATCTTATCTTTTAGTAAATAGACAGTACTATGTAGTAATAATAATAATAATAATAAAATAAAGTAAAGGTAAAGGGACCCCTGACCATTAGGTCCAGTCGTGACCAACTCTGGGGCTGCGGCGCTCATCTCGCTTTGTTGGCCAAGGGAGCCGGCGTACAGCTTCCGGGTCATGTGGCCAGCATGACTAAGCCGCTTCTGGCTAACCAGAGCAGCGCACGGAAACGCCGTTTACCTTCCCGCTGCAGTGGTACCTATTTATCTACTTGCAGTTGACGTGCTTTCGAACTGCTAGGTTGGCAGGAGCAGCGACCGAGCAACGGGAGCTCACCCTGTCGCGGGGATTCGAATTGCCGACCTTCCGATTGGCAAGTCCTAGGCTCTGTGGTTTAACCCACAGCGCCACCCGCATCCCTAATAATAATAATAACAACCACTTAAATGCTTTGGTTAATAAAGTAATACCATGCTCACTCTCCCTTCCTTTTAAATAAAGCTAACCCTAAGGTATAACAATAAAGGAGGCATGTTCTACTGGAATTGGTGTTTATTCACTATGAATACAGATTTATGAAAAGCAAATTCCAAATAGTGTACTAAAGCTTCTAAAATGATCTCCCCCCCCCCAAGAACTGTCACTGTGGCTTAACAAGGGGTAGGGGGGGAAACCATCCTTTGCTCATGATATACTAGTTTAAGATGCACAGTGCTTGCAATGTGAGGTTATAAATAATTAGTATACCTTATTTCTGATATAGCCATGACCCAGATTTGTACCTGCTCTGTTGCTCAGCAAACTAGGTGGCTATGTTGCAATGTAAAAACCTGCATTGAGGAAGCACATTTTTCTTCTAAGGCTGTGGCTTTGAAATTACTCAACCTTAAAGAGTTGTGTAAAAAGCAGCAAAGTACCAGAAGCAGTTTGATAAGTGCAGCTTTAGATGGGCAACCAGTTTTTGAACCAGATGGGTTGTGGGTTGGTACCGGTTTTCACAAGCAAATGCCAGAGCAGTTATTAGCAATTCTGATGACTATAGGGGTGATCTATTCTTACTTTCAAGTATTTTGAATACCATCCTTCAGTAAAGATTCTGTGGGTGGTTTACATAAAAGCGGGGGGGGGGACGGGGACACAACAAAAATAAAAATAATATGAAAGGACTCAGTTATCACCAGTAATAACATCTGCAATCTGTGATGGAAACAAAATAGCGTTGGTATGAAAATGTTTATGTAACCACCACACACACAAAAGGCCTATAATATGAAACAGTTCTAAGAATAAAGGGTCCGGTAGCCACAAAAACCATCTGTCCACCAGCTTCTCACAGGACACTATGGAATGATATGTTTGCTTGATCTATTCTCATCGTACAGCATCATTTTAATTATTGATTCCAAAGTATTATTCTTTAACACTATCTCTGTTAACATTATTGCTATTTTTCTTACTCTTGCTATATTTGCAGGGAGGGCCAGAAACACATTTTTCGTATAACAAGCCATTCTGAGAAGTGTTTGGACATGGTCTGCCTGTCCCCCAGGTTTTCTCCATTTCTTACTAGGCAGAAATTAGTTGCCCAACTTAGTTTGTATGAGCATGATGGAAATTTCTTATTAACATAACTTTCCTTGATTGGCTTTTTACAAGCCCTGTCTTTTTGCCAACTTAGGTAATACTGACTGGTCCAAAAGAATTCGGCATCTTCTGTCAATCCTACAAAATTCAGATTTTTAGAAAATGTCCAACCCAAATCTCTTACGTGTGTTCATTCTGTCAGCTGTTGGCATGAAACTACATTGTCTAGCTCTAGCTGGTAGAAATCCTACAGATATATATTTTCTTGCTCTTTTTTATTTTATATTTATATCTGTATCCTCTCGCTGAACTGGAAGCGGTAATCCATGGGGTTGCTTTTCATGTTGATGATATATTAACTTAAATATCACATGCTGAAATTGTCTTACTTGAAACGGAGTAGAGAAACTTAGTCATTGGAGAGGATTGTGGATTACAAAATGAGTATACTTTTAACTTTTATATACATACAGACAAGCTGGCAGCTGTGCATGAGCTCCCATGTGCTAGGAACAAAAACCAAGGAAAGAGCCAACAGTTGGAAGAAATTATTTATTAGTTGGGTTAAGTAGGTGGTTTGCAACCTGCATGAATTGGCACTCCCTGTTATTCCACCTATTCTATAAGATCTCTATTCATAGTCTTTTGTGTGGGTGAGATCAGAGAAGAAAAAAATCAGAAGCACTATTGCATTTCTGACTATGTCCAGATCTGCTCTTAAAAAGCTGTATCAGCAAGGTCTGCCCACCCAGTTGTGGAAGCTCAACTATTAAATATGGAAAAGAAAACGATGGTGGGGCGAGGAGGAAGATTTGAAAAGCAAAGATGAACTGAAGGACAGAGAATTTAAATGAGCAGTTACTGTTCACAGAGGATTATGCTTTACAGGAAAATACTAAAGAAATCAATGTTTTGGAAATCAAATCATTCCACAAAAGTGGAGAACACACCCCTCCAATAATATTATAGGGCAAGAGAAAATTGGACAATTTTAATTTCCCTTTCAGGAGAGTAAAACTTTCGCAAACACTTTCTTTGTAAAATCAATAAAAATACCCAAATTTTGATTGAAAAAGTGAGATCCTTTGGCATTACCTCAGGAGGGTTAATCCCCAAAAGGAATCTTTAATAATAATGACGATAATAATAATAATAATAATAATAATAATAATAATAATGTCTGCTCAGAAGCTATTCATGCTGAGTTCAACTGGGCTTTCTCCCAAGTAAATGCGTATAGGATTGTAGCATAAGGGACTGTTGTTAATTTGTCTTAAAGTCCATTGCAAGTGCAGCCTACAGCATATGCTAATGGGTTGAGAAATCTCTTCTGGAGTATATTTTCGGCTGATAAGCAAAGTACTGTACTGATGTGTATAAATCCAAATTAGCCATCTGAAATATTTTTAATCTCAACTGTCTAGTGGAAGTGTTCTTTTCTTTGGGATTTCATTCTTTTGGCCCTTACTGTAGCACACCAAAGTTGTCATGCAGAAAACATTGAGATATGCTATGCTGGAAAGTAACATGAACTTTGTGTGCCCTCTCCACCGCCTTTCCACCTCCAACATGGATCATTAATTTCATAGTCTTCTGAGAACACTGGCAACTCACCTTATAAATAAAGCCACACGTGAAGAGTAATAAAAGAACTCTGCTACAGAATGCAGCTACAAATCCTATGCAAAGTTACTTCAGAGTAAACCCCACTGAACTAAGTAGGATTTACTTCTGCAAAAACAGGATCAGGCTGCATGTTAACTTCCCAACTCCCACCCCTAAAAAAAACAACCCCAAAAACCCCCAAGCATTTTTAATTCTCTAGTATTTTGAACTCTTTTTAGAAAAGATGAAGGAAGTATTTGAAACATACTTTAAAATCCACACTCACATCTATTTAGAAAGAAAATCCTTTCCATGCACATATAATTGAGAATGAGGTGACAGACAAGCCCCGATTCAATATAACAAGAAAAGAAAGTGAAATAACCTGAATATACATCATTTCAAAACAGCAAGCTTGTAAAACTTTTACAGGTCATTTGAAATGCTTTGTTTAAAAATAAGGAAAAGAAAATCTGGGTCAATGTGAGCACAGATACATTAGCATGTATTTTACCTGGGAAACAGGTTGTTAGGTGTTCCATTAGCGCGTCTTGCGTGACTTGTTTTCGTGCTGAGTTCATTGCAGAAATGGCCAAGCAAAGGATTTCCCCAAGTGGGATAAACTGTGATTGACTGATGGGAGACATACTGATGGGCGATACATCACCTGCAGAGAGAAAATATTTTGCTTAAGTATCCTCAAAGCAAGCTGACTATATAGACACAGATGTTTCCAACATAGTTTTGGAATAAAACCTGGACAATAGAAGAATAGAGAACATTAAAACAACAACAACAACAACAACAACTCTAGACTATTTTCACAACAGAACTGACATTATTAAAACATATCAATCCCAAAAGTCTGGTTTAATAGGGGTGGTGATGAGGGGGGTTAAAATGTACAAGTCTTCAGGAGTATGGTGACATGAAAGGCTACCAAAAAAAAAAAATCTTTAGGAACAGGCAGCCTCCATTTTTTAAATATAAAAAACCCCCTGCTCTCTATCTTCTAGCAGAGGGCTAACATTAATTACTCATTTTACTAGAATGAAACCACGAGTATTGAGAGGACTGTCAATCAAGAATGAAGAAGCTGACAGAGAAATCTGATGGAAGTTTTTGGCATCTGTATTTGACCTTATTAGGTTGTTTCCCCAATTTTTACCCCTTTGTCATCTTCTTTAAAAATCTGTGTAAAATCAGTGAATTTTTTGAAGAGCAATATAAATACCGCATTGAAAAAATATGGAACCGTTCCCTGTGATAAGCGATTATAAAGGACAAAAATCCCATATGCATGACGTTTCAAAGTCTGAACTCTACCTACTATTTCAAGCCTAATTCTCATTGAGGTGGTGAATTTGCATCAGCATCACTAGTAGGGGTTCATAAAGGCAACAATTTAATTTGAGATGGGGGGAAGGAATGAAGGGAGGAGGAATGGTAAACCATGAGTACATCTTTCAAGTAATGAGAGGCTTCAAATTTACAAAAATACAAAGGCTAATAAGAGAATTTGTTTTACACACGGTATTGCATTGATTGTAAGTGCAAGATGCTTTCTTGTTTACTTAAAAGCAATATTAAAGTCGGTTCTTATGAGAAAGGATTTTAGATTCAGGCAAATGATTATCTTTGTTTCATTTATCTACACTTCCATATCTCTAGCTGGAGGAGAGGTCCCATGCAGTGAAGTGTATGCAATTCCCCTGCCTGAAATTGCACATGTGGAACCCATTTTTAAAAAATGAAACCCTCCCATCAGCTGTTTTAGTTGGAGAGCAGGGGGATGGACTCAGCCTCCCCTATTGTCCCTTTCTGAACAAACATCTGGTTATCAAGAATTTCACCTTCAACACAGGCTCCCATGTGGAGGCCCAGCTGGTCTACATGCTCTCTGCTGGACTGAAGCTGTGCTTATGATTATAAGTGCATGGGACAAAATCAAATACTGTTCTAAATGCACTTAAGCCCAATGATTTCAGGGTGTTTAAAGGTGTCTAAGTTTACTAGATTTTGTGTTAAATAGTTGCAGCAACACAACACAGGGTCTTGGGCATGTTAAATACACGAAACAGCCGCCAACACACCACTGCACTGGATTGTGGCCACTGCATTCAGTGGTATGACTTAGGATGCAGCTATTATTTACTATTTAAATAATTTACTATTACTAAACAAATTGCTTCTGAATGCTTCTGCATACCTGAAAACTCTACTAATGTTTCGACTCTACACAACTTATTATAAAGTCAAACTAAACAATGAATAAAGATTTGCATGGGCTGACTGCCTTTTAAAAGCATAACATAAGCCACTCCTTTTTAATTCTTAAAATAATTTTTAGTTCTTGTTTATCGTGACAGGGGAATTCTCATTTATTTTCACTGCTGACACAGTTAATACAATAGGCACTCTACAGATGTCTATGAGACATTTTGTGGCTCCTCATCTCAAATATTTTGTAGAGCTTACAGAGAACCAGTGACAGCTCCTCTTCATCTCACCTTCAGAGGTACTAATTTGCCATGTTTTATCATACTCTTAAAAATAATATTTGCTAATACTTATCTTCTACATTATTTCAGATCAATTTTAAAGTGCATTTTTCTTCTTAATAAAAAGTTGGGTAGCTTATTTCTTCTGAATACCACAACTCTTACGGAGCATGGAGGCAGGGGGAATCAACCATATGGCTCCCATTAACTTGGGCTGATGCTCGCTTAAAGCAGCTCTCCTTCAAAATTAAATTACCACACTCAACTTTCCAATGTTTATGCTCCAAATTAAAGGGCAAGCTGTGGGTGTGTGGGGGGGTGCTTTTGCAATTTGACTGCCCAGTTTGTTTAAATGCCCAACAATTGGTTTTATCACCACTACTACTAACTGAAAGGAACAACAGTCAACTGAAAAAAGCAAAGCTGTTCCCTGTTACTTTCTTATCATACTAAGAAAACAACCTGAAAATGGCTACCAAACAGAATTTGCTTGAGTAGAGAAGATGCTTCTTCCAGATGGCTACATAAAAAACTGCAAAAAACAAAAATTTAATTTAATAAGAAAGTTTTCTAAGTGATAAAAAATGGATAATAATGAATGGGTTCTTAAGGAGAATGTTATTCGAAATATCCAGTTAGATTCTCAGCATATACTTTCCACCCATTTCCTCCAACAGTATTTCTCAAACTTGAACTACAACTCCCATCATCCCTAACTAGCAGGACCAGTGGTCAGTGGACGATGGGAATTGTAGTCCAACAAACAGACTTAAGTCCTGTTCAGAACAAATTTAACCACAGAATACAGTTCACAGAATACAACCCAATTATGCATCATTTCCACCCCCAATAAATTTGTTTATATTATATAGAATGATTGCATGCAGAGTAATTTGGGTGCTACTATCAGGCACACAGTTCTGTTTGTCACAACAGCAAGTGTTTCATTCATGTCCCATCCCATTTATCTTATCCTTTCTTGCTACTGGCAGGACTTTGTGGAAACTGAAGAGATAAGGGGTGATGGAGGACTTCTCTATGAGCTCCTTTGGATAACCAAACTATCTGATAAGTGTCCATTAGTCAATTGTTTAGTGATAGTATGAAATACATCAGATGTACCCACTCTATGAAAAAAAGATTTGATTTGGCGGGAAAGTTTTCATTTCATAGGACAACTCAATACTAAACAGCAACTTGCTTGCTTTCTCTCTCTCTCTCTCTCTCTCTCTCTCTCTCTCTCTCTCTATGGGAAAGTCTTATCTCAGTGGTAAAACAATCCATCCATCCATCCATCCATCAATCAATCAATCAATCTTTATTATGGTCCAACAAATCATTACAAATCAATACACAATTCATACAGCCTACCTCCAGGTTAAACAAGCATTTTGTTTAGAATATAGGGCTCATTTGTTCTTGCAACCACCGATAAAAACTTTGCCACTGCTAACGTTCTAGCATTTGTCCGGTCTTCCAGTAGGAACCTGACATAGTGAGCCTCTGACTTTCCCGGGAAAGGTACCAGCAAGGGTAGTATCAGTTCAGCCCTGGCCTGCTCATATTTTGCACAATGCAACAAAATATGTTTTGTGGAATCGATGTCTTGAGCACACGAGCAAAGTCTGTCCTGGTAGGGAACTCCTCTCAACCTGCTATCCAACAATGCAGAGGGAAAGACATTTAGTCTGGCTTTGGTGAAAAGCCTTCGGTAGTTTGGTACTGTAAAACACATATTTTGGGTACAAAAAGTTCTAGGTTCGATCATTAGCATGTCCAGGTATAGCTGGGAAAGATTCCTGTCTGAATCCCAGGAGAACCATTAGCAGTCAGAGCACAAAATTGTGAGCAGGATGGACCAGTGCAGTATTTTTAAATAGTCCATAGCTATTTTTTAAAAAATATGATAAATGCATTTTCATGTGATATTAAACTGAAAGTATTCATCTTCTAGATTCCTATTAATAACATTACCTTCGTCATTCTAAAGCAAATTAAAATTTTCCTCTTTTTTAAGATGAGAAGTAGTCATTCCAGAAAGAGCCCAAGCTTTCATAACTGAGACATATCCTGCATTAGCTATAGTGCCATACTATTTTATAATATTTTGGCTGATAAGTTAAAATGGTATCCTGACTTCAAGTTAAATTTCACATATCTTCCATTTTTTGGAAATAAATTATTTCTTATATAATGCTACCTTTTGCTCTGTTTTAGTAACACTTTGTCAGTTTTCTAAAAATTCATACACTTAGAAATAGTCTCCGTTTTCCTTTCTCTTCCCACCCAAATGTCACTGACATTCCACTCCGCCCTTCCCTCCCACTGTCCCTATACATATGTCAACAACAAAAAAGAGAAAACAAAAACACAAAACAAGCCATCACAAAAAAACAAGCAGAAGCACAAACCCACACATATCATATATTTGGAACACAGTCCATTTGCTTTGCTTGTGGTTTAAAACTAAAACTATTTGGGAAGTCACTTTAAGTTATGCCTGAGACTTTAATTCTGCATTTCTCTCCCAGTTTGCCTTACATTTTTTCTAGCTCTACTTTTTGAACTGCATCACTCTAAGTCAACTCTTTCATTATCTTATTAGATTGTTCAAAGTCCTAGCCTTGGGCAACCTGCAACTTTATAGTGGAGAAGCAGATGTTTATATGCTGATTGGCGAGACCTGGATATTGGGTTTTTCTTCCTCCCAAGTCCTGGGAGGGATGAGCCACTACAGGCCACTCTTGAGAGCCCAGCAAGTTTTGGCATGCTCCAGCAGACGCTCTAAGTATCAAATGCTTTCTCCCATGCAATACTTCTGTTTCACAGCAGAGTGTACAGCTACCTCTTGCAATCTTACAGCGAAACAGTGGAAGCCTTCTCCCAAGGAAGTACCACCCAAGTCATTGAAAGAAAGAGCCATTACCAGGCATACCTGAGAGCTTTGGGAGAGCAGGACTGTCAAAACACCCACAACATTGTAAAGTCTATGTTCCAGAGCACCCATAAACTACATTTACCTTTAAGTATATGCTACCCTTTACATCTGTGTATCACCTCTTTAGGTCCTTTGAGCAAGGAAAGCTTTTAATTTCCAGTCCATGAAAAGCTTCCCTTGCTCAAATGACCTAAAGAGGTAATGGTATATATGCCAACCTCATAAATG